TATCATGAGTAGTGCTTCACGGTAACAGTGTATACATGTGTATGTAGGCTATCATGAGTAGTGCTTCACGGTAACAGTGTATACATGTGTATGTAGGCTATCATGAGTAGTGCTTCACGGTAACAGTGTATACAGGTGTATGTAGATTATCATGAGTTGTGATTCACGGTAATAGTGTATACAGGTGTATGTAGGCTATCATGAGTAGTGCTTCACGGTAACAGTGTATACAGGTGTATGTAGGCTATCATGAGTAGTGCTTCACGGTAACAGTGTATACAGGTGTATGTAGATTATCATGAGTAGTGATTCACGGTAACAGTGTATACAGGTGTATGTAGGCTATCATGAGTAGTGCTTCACGGTAACAGTGTATACAGGTGTATGTAGATTATCATGAGTTGTGATTCACGGTAACAGTGTATACAGGTGTATGTAGATTATCATGAGTTGTGATTCACGGTAACAGTGTATGCATGTGTATGTAGGCTATCATGAGTAGTGCTTCACGGTAACAGTGTATACATGTGTATGTAGGCTATCATGAGTAGTGCTTCACGGTAACAGTGTATACAGGTGTATGTAGACTATCATGAGTACATGTAGTAGTCCCCCAACACAAGGCATGTTGTAGTTGTAGTCCCCCAACACAAGGCATGTTGTAGTCCCCCAACACAAGGCATGTTGTAGTTGAAGTCCCCCAACACAAGGCATGTTGTAGTTGTAGTCCCCCAACACAAGGCATGTTGTAGTTGTAGTCCCCCAACACAAGGCATGTTGTAGTTGTAGTCCCCCAACACAAGGCATGTTGTAGTTGTAGTCCCCAACATAAGGCATGTTGTAGTTGTAGTCCCCCAACACAAGGCATGTAGTAGTTGTAGTCCCCCAACACAAGGCATGTTGTAATTGTAGTCCCCCAACACAAGGCATGTTGTAGTTGTAGTCCCCCAACACAAGGCATGTTGTAGTTGTAGTCCCCAACATAAGGCATGTTGTAGTTGTAGTCCCCCAACACAAGGCATGTTGTAGTTGTAGTCCCCAACACAAGGCATGTTGTAGTTGTAGTCCCTCAACACAAGGCATGTTGTAGTTGTAGTCCCCCAACACAAGGCATGTTGTAGTTGTAGTCCCCAACACAAGGCATGTTGTAGTTGTAGTCCCCAAACACAAGGCATGTTGTAGTTGTAGTCCCCAACACAAGGCATGTTGTAGTTGTAGTCCCCAACACAAGACATGTTGTAGTTGTAGTCCCCAACACAAGACATGTTGTAGTTGTAGTCCCCCAACACAAGGCATGTTGTAGTTGTAGTCCCCCAACACAAGGCATGTTGTAGTTGTAGTCCCCCAACACAAGGCATGTTGTAGTTGTAGTCCCCCAACACAAGGCATGTTGTAGTTGTAGTCCCCAACACAAGGCATGTTGTAGTTGTAGTCCCCCAACACAAGGCATGTTGTAGTTGTAGTCCCCAACACAAGGCATGTTGTAGTTGTAGTCCCCCAACACAAGGCATGTTGTAGTTGTAGTCCCCCGACACAAGGCATGTTGTAGTCCCCCAACACAAGGCATGTTGTAGTTGTAGTCCCCCAACACAAGGCATGTTGTAGTCCCCCAACACAAGGCATGTTGTAGTTGTAGTCCCCCAACACAAGGCATGTTGTAGTCCCCCAACACAAGGCATGTTGTAGTCCCCCAACACAAGGCATGTTGTAGTTGTAGTCCCCCAACACAAGGCATGTTGTAGTTGTAGTCCCCCAACACAAGGCATGTTGTAGTTGTAGTCCCCCAACACAAGGCATGTTGTAGTCCCCCAACACAAGGCATGTTGTAGTTGTAGTCCCCCAACACAAGGCATGTTGTAGTCCCCCAACACAAGGCATGTTGTAGTTGTAGTCCCCCAACACAAGGCATGTTGTAGTTGTAGTCCCCCAACATAAGGCATGTTGTAATTGTAGTCCCCCAACACAAGGCATGTTGTAGTCCCCCAACACAAGGCATGTTGTAGTTGTAGTCCCCCAACACAAGGCATGTTGTAGTCCCCCAACACAAGGCATGTTGTAGTTGTAGTCCCCCAACACAAGGCATGTTGTAGTCCCCCAACACAAGGCATGTTGTAGTTGTAGTCCCCCAACACAAGACATGTTGTAGTTGTAGTCCCCCAACACAAGGCATGTTGTAGTTGTAGTCCCCCAACACAAGGCATGTTGTAGTTGTAGTCCCCCAACACAAGGCATGTTGTAGTTGTAGTCCCCCAACACAAGGCATGTTGTAGTTGTAGTCCCCAACACAAGGCATGTTGTAGTTGTAGTCCCCCAACACAAGGCATGTTGTAGTTGTAGTCCCCAACATAAGGCATGTTGTAGTTGTAGTCCCCCAACACAAGGCATGTTGTAGTTGTAGTCCCCCAACACAAGGCATGTTGTAGTTGTAGTCCCCCAACACAAGGCATGTTGTAATTGTAGTCCCCCAACACAAGGCATGTTGTAATTGTAGTCCCCCAACACAAGGCATGTTGTAGTTGTAGTCCCCCAACATAAGGCATGTTGTAGTCCCCCAACACAAGGCATGTTGTAGTTGTAGTCCCCCAACACAAGGCATGTTGTAGTTGTAGTCCCCAACACAAGGCATGTTGTAGTTGTAGTCCCCCAACACAAGGCATGTTGTAGTTGAAGTCCCCCAACACAAGGCATGTTGTAGTTGTAGTCCCCCAACACAAGGCATGTTGTAGTTGTAGTCCCCCAACACAAGGCATGTTGTAGTTGTAGTCCCCCAACACAAGGCATGTTGTAGTTGTAGTCCCCCAACACAAGGGATGTTGTAGTTGAAGTCCTCCAACACAAGGCATGTTGTAGTTGTAGTCCCCCAACACAAGGCATGTTGTAATTGTAGTCCCCCAACACAAGGCATGTTGTAGTTGTAGTCCCCCAACACAAGGCATGTTGTAGTCCCCCAACACAAGGCATGTTGTAGTTGTAGTCCCCCAACACAAGGCATGTTGCAGTTGTAGTCCCCCAACACAAGGCATGTTGTAGTTGTAGTCCCCCAACACAAGGCATGTTGTAGTTGTAGTCCCCCAACACAAGGCATGTTGTAATTGTAGTCCCCCAACACAAGGCATGTTGTAGTTGTAGTCCCCGAACACAAGGCATGTTGTAGTCCCCCAACACAAGGCATGTTGTAGTTGTAGTCCCCCAACACAAGGCATGTTGTAGTTGTAGTCCCCCAACACAAGGCATGTTGTAGTTGTAGTCCCCCAACACAAGGCATGTTGTAGTTGAAGTCCCCCAACACAAGGCATGTTGTAGTTGTAGTCCCCCAACACAAGACATGTTGTAGTTGTAGTCCCCCGACACAAGGCATGTTGTAGTTGTAGTCCCCCGACACAAGGCATGTTGTAGTTGTAGTCCCCCGACACAAGGCATGTTGTAGTCACGCGATGTGATCTATTCGAACGGGTTATTTCTCGCCAAGTAACTGTCAGCCGACAATAGTTAGCGATGTTTTGAGTCGGGTGTGGCGAGGCAGTGGTATTTGTAATGGAAATGATCTGGAGGCGTGTACGACCAGACAGGTGGTACACAACATTCCTGGGACTACCTCGCAAAGAACTTTAACAAAATATACATTGTGTGTATAGAGCAATGTATGATTGTCGAGGGTGTTTTATGAATAATACACTGTATTGTGCAAGCTGTCCCTGCTCGGAGACTACAGTGATATTTATCAGTTTGTGACAGCAAATGTATCGGATTGGTTTACTCCATTGATGACACGACCCATCACATGACAAACACGTGGATACCACAGTATATGACAGTGTAAAATGTATCATACAACAATTGTCTGATACCCGCCAGGACGGTCGGGTGGCCTAGTGGTTAAAGCGTTCGCTCGTCACGCCGAAGACCCGGGTTCGATTCTCGACATGGGTACAATGTGTTAAGCCCATTTCTAATGTCCCCCGTCGTGATATTGTTGGATAATTGCTAAAAGTGGCGTAAAATCAAACTCACTCATTCATACCCGCGAAAGGCTTGTTGGATTTTAATTTTATTTGTCAAACAGCTGTACATTTATCGTCTATTTGTAACACATTTATAAACAACAAATGGTCAAATAAACTGTGTGCAAGATGTTGTGCTCAGTAGGGTCATGATGGGGGCGAGGGAGCCAGCACTCGTCACTTATCAGGCCCTCTCATCTTGTTTTGTTAGATCAGATGTGGGATTCATGTTTTGAATTTGACTCATAGCACAAAACAAATTCTCAATATGGCTACTTTAATATCCACGTTTTGCTAGAACGGGGCAGAGGAAATACCGAAAGTTTCAGTTCGTGAATGTGAGATGGTCTGTGATGATATTTTGTCGGAATGATTTCAGTACAATGTGACCGAGGAGTTTAGGACAGTGTGATATTCTGTTGCAGATTGCTTCCACCTTATGAGGCAGTATGATATTCTGCTGCAGATTGCTTCCACTTTATAAGGCAGGATAATATTCTGTTGCAGATTGCTTCCACTTTATAAGGCAGTATGATATTCTGTTGCAGATTGCTTCCACCTTATAAGGCAGTATGATACTCTGTTGCAGATTGCTTCCACCTTATAAGGCAGTATGATACTCTGTTGCAGATTGCTTCCACCTTATAAGGCAGTATGATACTCTGTTGCAGATTGCTTCCACTTTATGAGGCAGTATGATATTCTGTTGCAGATTGCTTCCACCTTATAAGGCAGTATGATACTCTGTTGCAGATTGCTTCCACCTTATAAGGCAGTATGATACTCTGTTGCAGATTGCTTCCACTTTATGAGGCAGTATGATATTCTGTTGCAGATTGCTTCCATCTTATAAGGCAGTATGATATCCTGTTGCAGATTGCTTCCACCTTATAAGGCAGTATGATATTCTGTTTCAGATTGCTTCCACCTGATAAGGCAGTATGATATCCTGTTGCAGATTGCTTCCACCTTATAAGGCAGTATGATATTCTGTTGCAGATTGTCACGCCATCTATGACGCTGTGTTAGTTGTGGATGGATCGGAGAGTATTGGCGTTGATAATTTTAAGATTGTGAAGAGAGCCCTGATGGAGTTCGTGAACACAACCCTGCAGACTAACGAGGACGTCCACATCGGCGTTGTGTTGTACAGCACGACCGTCGCGGATACCGTTAACATGACCTCTGACTGGGCGTTCCTGGACGACAAGATCGACAACATGGCGTACCCTGCAGCGTCCACATTCACCGACCACGGTATCGACGCGGGGACTGATATGCTACTGAAACAAGGCAGGAAGGTCGTCCCTCGCATCATGATCGTCGTCACAGATGGTCTCTCCACACGGCCGGAGCGCACGTTGGAAGCTGCTCAGAGGGCTAAAGACAACAGCATCACCATCTATTCTGTTGGGATAGAGATCTATGTGAAGGCGCGAGCAGCCATCTTGGAGCGATATCAGCATGAACTGGCCAGTATTGCGTCAGACGAAGGTCACGTTATCCACCTTGCAGATTTCAAAGATTTCGAGAACACTGCCCCTGAAATCGCAGAGAAATTCTGTGCTGTGGTTGGTTAGTATGATTCTCAAAATATTTCAAATCTGTCTTTAAAGTTTAATATAGGATCTTGTTCTGGACACACTCAACCCACGCCATCCCACACAGACGCACAACCGTCACGCACCCACAAACCAACTGTCCTACCTCTATCCATCCCAACTCCATGCCAAACACGCAAACCCCTCATCACATCATACACAATACCGCCCCCCCCCACCCCCCCCACCACCACCACACACACACGAAAGCACTCACACCACACATGCACAAACCCATGCAACTCACACAGCTTAAATCCCTCACTCCGCAATCTTACACACACGCACACGCAAACACACGCTATCTGTCTCTCTCACACACACACTCACGCACGCACACGCACGCTATCTGACACCCCGTCCCCCACACACCACAGCCCCCCCCCCCTCTCTCTCTCTCTCTCACACACACACACACCCTCTCTCGTACACACGCACATACACGCTTTCCCTCTCGCTCTCACCCACCCCTACCCACCCACCCCCACCCCACACCCTCTCTCTCTCTCTCTCAAACACACACCATCTCGCTCACAGACACTCGCATATACCCTCTCTCTTTCTCTCTCACACACACCCTCTCTCTCTCTCTCCCTCACACACACACACACACATACACACCATCTCGCTCACAGACACTCGCACATACCCTCTCTTTTTCTCTCTCACACCCTCTCTCGCACACACACTTTCTCCAGCACACACACGCACTCTCACAAACACACACACACTCGCTATCTCTTACACACCCTCTCTCTCACACAAGCAGATAACACTCTCTCTCACACATACGCACACACACTCTCTCTCACACACACTCACACACAGGCACACACACACACCTTCTATCTCACCGCCCCCTTACACACACACCCACCCACCCACACACACACACCCACCCACACACACCCACCCACCCACCCACCCACACACACACACACACACCCACACACCCACACCCACACACACACACACACACACACACACACACACACACATGCTCTCTAGCACACATGCTCAAACACACTTCACTCTTTCTCTCTCTCTCACCCCCCCACCCCCACCCCTTTTCTCTAACACACACTCACACACACCCTCTTTTTCCTTCTCGCACACACACGCTATTTCTCACATACCCTCTCTCTTTCTCTCTCACACACACCCTCTCTCGCACACACACACTTTCTCCAGCACACACACGCACTCTCACAAACACACACACCCTCGCTCTTTCTCTAACACACACTCGCACACACGCTCTTTCTCTAACACACACTCACACACACTCACACACACCCACTTTTTCCTTCTCGCACACACGCACACACACGCTATTTCTCACATACCCTCTCTCTTTCTCTCTTACACACACCCTCTCTCGCACACACACACACACACACACACACACACACACACACACACACACACACACACACACACACACACACACACACACACACACACACACACACACACACACACACACACACACACACACACCCTCTCTCGCACACACATACGCTATTTCTCACATACCCTCTCTCTTTCTCTCTCACACACACCCTCTCTTGCACGCGCGCGCACACACACACACACACACACACACACACACACACACACACACACACACACACACACACTCTCTCTCTCTCTCTCTCTCTCTCTCTCTCTCTCGCACACACACACGCTATTTCTCACACACGCTCTCTCTCACACATACACAAGCACAAGCACACACAAGCACACACAAACACACACACACACACACACACACACACACACACACACACACTCTCTCTCTCTCTCTCTCTCTCTCTCTCTCTCTCTCACCCACGCCCACTAAATGTCTATCTGCGCTTCCAGCTGAGGTGCTGAAGGGTCTGCAGAACATGACGGTGTACGAGGGTGAAAGCTTCACCCTGACGGCCGAGATGAGTCACATCGCCGTGGTGGGGGGCAACTGGAGTCGGAGCGGAGAGCTCCTCACTGCAGGGGGCAGATACAACATCTCCAAGAATGGGTCCTTCCTCTACTTCACCGTGGAGGGGGCGATGCTGTCTGACGCCGGGGACTACACCTACTCAGTGGGAGGGAAGACAGCCCATGGCTTCGTTACTGTTCTAAGTGAGTCTCTGTCTCCCCGCTAGGGTAATTGCCCTTTGCCAAAGGCAAGCTACTCTGGTCTATGAGAGCCTGTTTAAAGTCTGCCTGGCCTGTCATAACGTTATGAAGGATGTTCCCCACAGTGACAAAATGAAACAAGGTAAAATATGTCGGCCAAATCCAACTGTTTTGAATTCTGGAAAAGATCCCAAGCCGCAAAGGTCTATATGTAATCCTAGCGCCCTCGCCGACATTGCTTTCAAATTTATGTTTCCAAAGTACAAAGACCTAATATTATACCTAAGTATTGTTTTCAATGTAAATTGCCTCAATTATGTTTTACTATATATAACTGAAATGTACATGGGTCTATGGCCTCCCATACATGATATATTCTGGCACGATACCTTCACATTATATGATGCAGAATTACATGCTAATAATAAATATAGCGGAAGGTGTGCGGCCAATAACACGCTTACCGTCTTATTAATACCTCAATAATGAATAAAGTCAAAATAACAGCCCGGAATGGAGGTTTCCAGTTTTAACTGCACCTTATTTCCTTATCTGCACAGAACGTTGGAGCGATTGGTCAGAATGGAGTCAACTCCGATGTCGGGCCACCTGCGGCATCAACATCATTGGGGACAAGGAGCGCACACGCACGTGTCAAAAGCCGGAGTGTGTCGGCAGCAACAATGAAACCCTGACAGAGGCGTGCGGATCAGTCGCAGCTTGCGATGGTGAGGCTGTTGTATCATACATCCTCGACAGTCACGTGTTATAGACGGCAAACTAGTCATGATACACAATACCTTGTGTTGGGCATTTGACAAGGACAGTCTACCCATTTAGACGCAGGACCCATAACGTCAAAAGTCACACACAATATCCACATATGACTTCAGACGTTGCCAACAAGATCCACATATGACATCAGACGTTAGACACTAGATCCACAGATGACATCAGGCGTTGCCAACAAGATCCACAAATGACATCAGACGTTAGACACTAGATCCACATATGACATCAGACGTTAGACACTAGATCCACAGATGACATCAGACGTTAGACACTAGATCCACAGATGACATCAGACGTTAGACACTAGATCCACAGATGACATCAGACGTTACACACAAGATCCACAGATGACATCAGACGTTACACACTAGATCCACATATGACATCAGACGTTACACACAAGATCCACAGATGACATCAGACGTTAGACACTAGATCCACAGATGACATCAGACGTTACACACAAGATCCACATATGACATCAGACGTTAGACACAATACGCTATACACTAGATCCACTGACATCAGACGTTAGACAATATTTACAGACGACATAGCTGTAGTCACACATCAAAGCTTTAGGCACACATGATATCGGACATCAAACAAATACGTTCAGCTCAGACAATAACTCCTATCTTCAAAGATCCACTGACTCGAAACCCAACTTTAGCATTGCGTCAGTCTCTGCCTCTCTTGCAGTCACCTTCACCACGGAGCTGAACAACGCCACCGTGCGCGGGGGGGACGACTTCACGTTGACGGCCGCGGTCAGCGAGACGGACAAGACGGACTGGCAGTGGTCGAAGGGGGGCAAGGTGCTGGCGGAGAGTAGCAGGATGAAGTTTGGCCAGGATGGTTCCGGGAAATATACGCTGAATGTGGTCGCAGCCGAGACTACAGACGAAGGGGAATACACGTTCACGCTTGGAGGCAAATCAACAAAGGGTTACGTTGCAGTGACAGGTGAGAAGGAAGTTGTTCCTATTCTGAGGATGACCGGCTAATCCAAACTAGACTGTGCTGAGTTCCTTACTATTTAAGTATCACAGAATCGCCTCCCTGAAATAGGGTGGTTGAAGTCCCACACACTCACCTAACACTTCCCCGAAACAACTCACTCCCAGCACTTCCCACACCAACCCTCACACACCACACGCCACAACCGCCCTACAACCACCCAACACTTCACACAACACCACACCTGCCCTACCAACACCCAGCCCTTCTCAAACCTAAAATCCGCCCTACCCCCACCCTACACTTCACACACCCCACACCGGCCCTACCCCCACCCTACACTTCCCACACCAGCCCTACCCCCAACCAACGCTTCCCACACCCCACACCAGCCCTACCACCACCCTACACTTCCCCCACCCGCCCTACCCCCATCCAACACTTCCGACAACTAACACCCGTCCTACCCCCACCCAACACTTCCTAAACCCCACATCCGTCCTACCCCCATCCAACACTTCCGACAACTCACACCCGCCCTACCCCCACCCAACACTTCCTAAACCCCACATCCGTCCTACCCCCATCCAACACTTCACACACCTCACAGCAGCCCTACCCCCACACTACACTTCCCACACCCCACACCCGTCCTACCCCCATCAAACACTTCACACACCTCACACCCGCCCTACCAACACCCAGCCCTTCTCAAACCCCAAATCCGCCCTACCCCCACCCAACACTTCCGACAACTCACATCCGCCCTACCGCCACCCAACACTTCCGACAACTAACACCCGTCCTACCCCCACCCAACACTTCACACACCCCACACCCGTCCTACCCCCACCCTACACTTCCCACACCCCACACCCGCCCTCCCCCCACCCAACACTTCCCACACCCCAAACCCGTCCTACCCCCACCCTACACTTCCCACACCCCACACCAGCCCTACCCCCACCCTACACTTCCCACACCCGCCCTACCCCCACCCTACACTTCCCACACCACACACCAGCCCTACCCCCACCCTACACTTCCCACTCCCCACACCAGCCCTACCCCCACCCTACACTTCCCACACCCCACACCAGCCCTACCCCCACCCTACACTTCCCACACCCGCCCTACCCCCACCCTACACTTCCCACACCCCACACCAGCCCTACCCCCACCCTACACTTCCCACACCAGCCCTACCCCCACCCTACACTTCCCACACCCCACACCAGCCCTACCCCCACCCTACACTTCCCACACCCCACACCAGCCCTACCCCCACCCTACACTTCCCACACCCGCCCTACCCCCACCCTACACTTCCCACACCCCACACCAGCCCTACCCCCACCCTACACTTCCCACACCCCACACCAGCCCTACCCCCACCCTACACTTCCCGCACCCGCCCTACCCCCACCCAACACTTCCGACAATTCACACCTGTCCTACCCCCAACCAGCACTTCCGACAACTCACACCCGTCCTACCCCCACCCAGCACTTCCAACTCTACACACCAGCCCTACCCTCAACCAATCAGTCCCCACACCGCACACCCGTCCTACTCCCACTCAGCACTTCCAACTCTACACACCAGTCCTACCCAAAACCCATCAGTCCCCACACCGCACACCCGTCCTACCCCCACCCAGCACTTCAAACTCTACACACCAGTCCTACCCTAAACCCATCGGTCCCAACACCGCACACCCGTTCAACCCCCACACAGCACTTCCGACAACTCACAACCTCCCTACCCCCACCCAACACTTACGATACCCAACACTTCCTACAACCTCACCCCATCAAGCACTTCACACACCCAGCACTTCACATACCCCACACTCTCCCTACCCCCACCCAACACTTCACACACCCCGCACCCGCCCTACCCCCACCCAACACTTACCACACCCAAACTTCGCACACCCAACACCCGCCCTACCCCCACTCAGGACTTACCACACCTAACACTTCCCACACCCCACACTCCACACCCGCCCTACCCACACCCAACACTTCCTACACCAAACACCGCCTCACATTGAAAAACTCACCACTCACTCATTTGTGACTAGTCCATGAATCAACCTTATAATTGACCATACTTCTGGTTCCAGCTGAGATTCTTGACGGCCTGAAGGATATCCGAGTTCGGCAGGGGGACAGTTTTGAACAATCCGTCCTTCTGGTCGGCACTGGGTACTCGGGGTGGCGCTGGATGAAGGACGGGGTGGCCTTGGCTGAGAGTGAGAGGATCAAGTTTAGCAGTGGCGACAGTTCGTACAGGATGGCAGCCACAGGGGCCACGCTGTCAGACACCGGCAAATACGCCTTCATCGTCGGAGGGAAAACCTCCGAGGGGACAGTAACTGTATACGGTGAGCTGTGTATCTGAAAACACAGACCTTGACCTTGTTAATCGAACTTAACTTTTTCCGTGGGCGGTGAGGTAGCCAAGTTGTTAAAGCGCTCGCTCGTTACGCCGAAAACCCGAGTTCGATTCCCAGCATGGGTGCAAGGACCATTTCTGGTGTCCCCCGCCGTCATATTGCTATAATATTGCTAAAAGCGGCGTGAAACCATACTCGTTCACTTTATGTTCCATATGATGGAGGTTCGTACTCCTGTCTTGTTGATCATTGAAATTTGGTGCATTTACACTCATGGACAGAACGGGTACAAGAAATGTGTTATTTATAAAATTCCGTTTGTACGTAAAATATACTAAAGGACTATTTGCCCCGTAGTGAACACATTACACACTAACACTGCATCACCTAATTTGGTAGAATCGATCTTCAGCAACCCATGCTAGCCGTAAAAGGCGACGATGCTTGTCGTAAGAGGCGACTAACGGGATCGGGTGGTCAGGCTTGCTGACTTGGTTGATGCATGTCATCGTATCTCAATTGCATGGATCGATGCTCATGACATCAATCACTGGCCTGTCTGGTCCAGACTCGATTATTTATAGACCGCCGTCATATAGCTGGAATATTGCTGAGTGCGGCGTTAAACAAAAAACAAACAAAGGAACCTAATTTGCTCAGTGACGACTAATCTTCAATTTATGAGTCTGTGGCCTTAATCCACAGGTATTACGTAAACACTGATTAAGGAGATGAGTTGGGCAGTCGCAGGAATATATCGTTCACTTGTCATGCAAAGGTCTGGGTTCGATTCCAAACAGGTACAAAGTGTTAAACTCTGGTCGTGTGTTACCTGTGATATTTCTGGAATATTGTTAAAAGCGGCGAGAAACCTCACTCACCCACTCATGCCGATAGTAATTGACTAATAACACTTCCTGAGTCTCCGAATTTATATTTGACGCTATGACCGACTTTTCAGTTGATGGTGGATGGGGCGAGTGGTCTGCGTGGAAAAGGGTATGCTCGGCCGACTGCGGTCAGTCGGTCAGCGGGACGGACACGCGGACGCGGACCTGCACCAACCCTGCTCCAGTGAATAACGGAAGCACCTGTGATGGGGTTGCTGAAGAGAAGAACACCATCCAGTGTGACACTACAGCTTGTGGTAACTACATTGTGGCTATCGACTTACTGCCTCAGGGCCATATGGCTGGTGTCTCCGTACTTGGACTCATGTAACTTTACGATTCACATCACTTTACGATAGGTGTCATTTTACGTTAGATATCACTTTACGATACGCATCACTTTACGACACATATCCCTTGTGCACATCACTTTACGATACGTGTCACTTTACGATACACATCACATTACGATACGTTTCCCTTTACGATACGTGTCCCTTTACGATACGTGTCACTTTACGATACACATCACTTTACAATACGTTTCACTTTGCGATACACATCACTTTACGATACGAGTCACTTTACGATACACGTCCCTTTACGATACGTGTCACTTTACGATACGTGTCCCTTTACGATACACATCACATTACGATACGTTTCACTTTACGATACGTGTCCCTTTACGATACGTGTCCCTTTACGATACACATCACATTACGATACGTTTCACTTTACGATACGTGTCCCTTTCGATAGCTGTCACTTTACGATACATGTCACTTTACGATACTTGTCACTCAGCGATACCTGTCACGATATATTAAACATGGGGGCGGTCGGGTAGCCTAGTGGTTAAAGCGTTCCCTCGTCACGCCGAAGACCCGGGTTCGATTCCCGACATGGGTACAATGTGTGAAGCCCATTTCTGGTGTCCCCCGCCGTGATATTGCTGGGATATTGCTAAAAGCGGCGTAAAACCATACTCACTCACTCACTATTAAACATGACACGATGCGTATCGTGTTACAATACACATGAGTTTACGGCACGCATCCTACAATGAAACGCATGACTCTGTCTGAGAAGTTCTTTGATCAAGGTTACCACAGTAAAAGAGTCAGTAAAGCTTTCAAGAAGTGTTAAGGTAAACATATGGAGGACATTTAAAAATATGACACATTAAAAAGTATTGTCCGATGCAATTCCCATTTGACTTGTACCATAAGGTCCTCTCATTTTTCAGGTGAACTATTTACTTGCCTTTGCATGTGTTTATGACCGTCGCGACCGGGGTGCAGGGTACGCTCAGCTTTTCGTTAAAGCCTGGTATCATCACTAAACAGGACTGCTCAGGATAGTCGAAATCGTACAATCGACTCTGAAATTTCCTTATTAATATATTTTATATTTATATTTATTTTATCAAGGACACTCATGTCTTTAGGATACGCACTACTCAATGAAACGCATCAGTTAACGACACTTTGTCCATACTATGGACATCCATCACGACATTGATTTAAAGAATATAGATGCTCCACACTGGTACAGATCACGGTAGTTGCTCTTAGTTCAAGGTCGCTGTATGCTATTCGAGGTTAAAATTCAGTCGGGTCGCCTAGTGGTTAAAGCTTTTGCTAGTCATGCCGAAGACCCGGGTTCGATTTCCGACCTGGGTACAATGTGTGATGCCCATTCCTGGTGTACCCCGCCGTGATACTGCTGGAATATTGCTAAAAGCGGCGTAAAACCATATTCACTCACTCATTCACTCAACACCTGGTGTCCTTGCAGCCAGCTTCACCACAGAGCTGAATAACGTCACCGTTCAGAGTGGGAGTGACTTCACCTTGACCGCTGCGGTCACTGGGACGGACAAGACGGACGGGCAATGGTCGAAGGGGGGCAAGGTGCTGGCTGAGAGCGAGAGGATGAAGTTTGGCCAGGATGGTTCCGGGAAATATACGCTGAATGTGGTGGGGGCTACTGCCGCCGACGGCGGAGAATACACATTCGCCATTGCAGGAAAATCCACAAAGGGCACAGTCAAAGTCATTGGTGAGTCCCAATGTGGAGGTGGGTCCTTCTTGGCGATTTTACAGCCTCTTCTTTCTCTATTTCGTCTCACACAGGGGTTCGGTGGTGGCATGTTTGTCTGAGGTACCGGAAGTCCGGAGTAATGTCTCATAGTCCTCCCGAAACACCAGGTGCCATTCCCTCCCACCCATCCTTGTCTAACGGTCCCATCGAGACACCAGGTGTTAGCCCACCAATCCTTGTCTAACGGCCCTCTAGAGACACCAGGTGTCAGCCCGACCATCCTTGTCTAACAGTCTTCCTGAGACACACATGAGTCATCCATCCTTTGAGTCATGTTCCTCTCAAAACACCAGGTGTCAGCCCCCAATCCTTGTCTTACGGTCCCCTCGAGACACCAGGTGTCAGCCCCCTAATCCTGACCTCAAAGTCCCCGGGAGACACCATGTGTCAGCCCCCCCAATACTTGTCTCACGGTCCTTTCGTGACACCAGGTGTCAGCCTCCCATCCTTGTTTCACGGTCCCCTGGAGACCCCAGGTGTCAGCCCCGAATCCTTGCCTCAGGGTCCCCTGGAGACACCAGGTGTCAGCCCCAATACTTGTCCTACGGTCCTTTCGAGACACCAGGTGTCAGCCCCCAACCCTTGTCTCACGGTCCCCTCGAGACACCAGGTGTCAGCCCTCCCATCCTTGTCTCACGGTCCCCTCGAGACACCAGGTGTCAGCCCTCCCATCCTTGTCTCACGGTCCCCTCGAGACACCAGGTGTCAGCCCTCCCATCCTTGTCTCACGGTCCCCTCGAGACACCAGGTGTCAGCCCTCCCATCCTTGTCTCACGGTCCCCTCGAGACACCAGGTGTCAGCCCTCCCATCCTTGCCTCACGGTCCCCTCGAGACACCAGGTGTCAGCCCCCAAACCTTGTCTCACGGTCCCCTCGAGACACCAGGTGTCAGCCCACCCATCCTTGTCTCACGGTCCCCCCGAGACACCAGGTGTCAGCCCTCCCATCCTTGCCTCACGGTCCCCTCAAGACACCAGGTGTCAGTCCCCAAACCTTGTCTCACGGTCCCCTCGAGACACCAGGTGTCAGCCCCCAACCCTTTTCTTACGGTCCCTTGGAGACACCAGGTGTCAGCCCCCAAACTTGCCTCACGGTCCCCTCGAGACACCAGGTGTCAGCCCCCAACCCTTGTCTAACAGTCCCCTCGAGACACCAGGTGTCAGTCCCCAAACCTTGTCTAACAGTCCCCTCGAGACACCAGGTGTAAGCCCCCAAACCTTGTCTAACAGTCCCCTCGAGACACCAGGTGAAAGCCCCCAATCCTTGCCTCACAGTCCCCTCGAGACACCAGGTGTCAACCCTCCCATCCTTGTCTCACGGTCCCCTGGAGACACCAGGTGTCAGCCCTCCCATCCTTGTTTCACGGTCCCCTGGAGACACCAGGTGTTAGCCCTCCAATCCTTGTCTAACAGTCCTCCCAAGACATGCACGAATCACCCATCCTTTGAGTCCTGCTCCTATCAAGAAACCAGGTGTCAGTCACTCATCTCTGCCTCATGTTAGTTCTCTTGTTCATCAAGTTTTCATGTTTCAGTTGACGGCGGTTGGGACGCGTGGACCACGTGGCATATCGTCTCGTGCTCGGCCACGTGCGGGGCCAATGTGGTCGGTGTCTCAAGACGAGTGCGGTACTGCGACAACCCCACACCAGCAAATGGGGGGAAAAATTGTGAAGGGGAAAGGATAGAGAGAAACTCAACAACGTGTGACCTACCCGAGTGTATCAGTGCGTATCAGCAGCTATACTTGTCTCTGTACATGTGTGAATTGTGTATCAGTGCCTCAAAGTGAAACTAACCAATAAGAGAGCAGAATTACTAACCCCATTTATGACCGTATACCGTCAGTAGAAATCCAAGATGGTTGTTACTGACGTATTATGAGACCGTATACCGTCAGTAACTGCCATTTTGGATTTTCCAACACCCACTTCAAATATTTCACATGAAAATTCTGGTACAGAAATTCGTTATTCGACACTGTTCTGTGTTTTAATATCATAAATTTTGATGTGCAAAGACAATAATATTTGTTTAGATCTCGTTCGTGACTTGAGATAATAGTTAAAATTATGTACAAGGTTTGGCCTCTAAGGTTTGAAGAGTAGTCTCCCTTTGACCTTTAACGTCAACAGTTGTAAGTGCCAAGATTTCATTTTGTCATGATACGTGCGACATAGATACCAGATAGTGTAAACATTTCGGCACAATAAATTCGTTATGGTGTCTTCAGCTTCCGTATACGGTCTCATATTAGGTAAGGAGACAAATATGTCACCGTCTACGGCAACAAAAGACTCCATAACTAATAGCATATTCGACAACAACACGTATCAGTGCGTATATCGACAACAACACTCGTGTCTGTAGATGTGTTAACTATCTGAGTGTATCAGTAGGTAGATCAACAGTTCAATTTGTATGACCTTCTATGACATATGAGTCCGGTATAGATAGTCAGCCTTAAGACATGAAGTGCCATGTAGTGCCATGTGTGTTTCACGAAGGCTCCCCAAAGCTCCAAAGTATCCTGTTTCACTATTCCAGTTCTCAGCGGGCTCAAGAACCTGACATTGCGGGTTGGCGAAGAGATGACTTTGAGCGCCGGCACCAAGGCCTCAGCGACGGGAGCAGCACAGTGGTACCGCCACGGCCACCTCCTTCACGACAGCAGTCGGGTGGCCATCACGAACGACAACACCAACTACTCCTTGACCCTGCGCAACCTCACCGTGGGCGACACAGGCACCTACACATTCAGTTTTGATGGGCAGACAGCGGAGGGACACTTGTTGGTTGTAGGTAAGACACATCGCTTGGCAAAGACCGCAACCACTGTGTAGGCAGATTTGTGTCAGCTGCGAGAGTCGTGTGTTGTCCGTGACAAGATGCTCTAGTTAGGAAGAGCTGTGTGTTGTCTGTGACAAGGTGTTCTAGTTAGGAAGAGCTGTGTGTTGTCTGTGACAAGGTGTCTTAGTTAGGAAGAGTTGTGTGTTGTCTGTGACAAGGTGTTCAAGTTAGGAAGAGCTGTGTGTTGTCTGTGACAAGGTGTTCTAGTTAGGAAGAGCTGTGTGTTGTCTGTGACAAGGTGTTCTAATAAGGAAGAGTTGTGTGTTGTCTGTGACAAGGTGTTCAAGTTAGGAAGAGCTGTGTGGTGTCTGTGACAAGGTGTTCTAGTTAGGAAGAGTTGTGTGTTGTCTGTGACAAGGTGTCCTAGTTAGGAAGAATCGTGTGTTATCTGTGACAAGGTGCTCTAGCTAGGAAGAGTTGTGTGTTGTCTGTGACAAGGTGTTCTAGTTAGGAAGAGCTGTGTGTTGTCTGTGACAAGGTGTTCTAGTTAGGAAGAGCTGTGTGTTGTCTGTGACAAGGTGTCTTAGTTAGGAAGAGCTGTGTGTTGTCTGTGACAAGGTGTTCTAGTTAGGAAGAGCTGTGTGTTGTCTGTGACAAGGTGTTCTAGTCAGGAAGAGTTGTGTGTTGTCTGTGACAAGGTGTTCTAGTTAGGAAGAGCTGTGTGTTGTCTGTGACAAGGTGTCCTAGTTAGGAAGAGTCGTGTGTTATCTGTGACAAGGTGCTCTAGCTAGGAAGAGTTGTGTGTTGTCTGTGACAAGGTGTTCTAGTTAGGAAGAGCTGTGTGTTGTCTGTGACAAGGTGTTCTAGTTAGGAAGAGCTGTGTGTTGTCTGTGACAAGGTGTCTTAGTTAGGAAGAGCTGTGTGTTGTCTGTGACAAGGTGTTCTAGTTAGGAAGAGCTGTGTGTTGTCTGTGACAAGGTGTTCTAGTCAGGAAGAGTTGTGTGTTGTCTGTGACAAGGTGTTCTAGTTAGGAAGAGTTGTGTGGTGTCTGTGACAAGGTGTTCCAGTTAGGAAGTGTCGTGTGTTGTCCGTGACAAGGTGTTCTAGTTAGGAAGAGTTGTGTGTTGTCTGTGACTAGGTTTTCCAGTTAGGTAGAGTTGTGTGTTGTCTATGACAAGGTGTTCAAGTTAGGAAGAGCTGTGTGTTGTCTGTGACAAGGTGCTCTAGTTAGGAAGAGTTGTGTGTTGTCTGTGACAAGGTGCTCTAGTTAGGAAGAGTTGTGTGTTGTCTGTGACAAGGTGTCCTAACCAGGAAGAGTTGTGTGTTGTCTGTGACAAGGTGTTCTAGTTAGGAAGAGTCGTGTGTTGTCTGTGACAAGGTGTTGTAGTTAGGAAGAGTTGTGTGTTGTCTGTGACAAGGTCCTCTAGTTAGGAAGAGTTGTGTGTTGTCTGTGATCAGGTGCTCTAGTTAGGAAGAGTCATGTGTTGTCTGTGACAAGGTGTTCTAGTCAGGAAGAGTTTTTGTGTTGTCTGTGACAAGGTGTCCTAGTTAGGAAGAGTTGTGTGTTGTTTGTGACAAGGTGTCCTAGTTAGGAAGAGCTGTGTGGTGTCTGTGACAAGGTGTTCTAGTCAGCAAGAGTTGTGTGTTGTCTGTGACAAGGTGTTCTAGTCAGGAAGAGTTGTGTGTTGTCTGTGACAAGGTGCTCTAGTTAGGAAGAGATGTGTGTTGTCTGTGACAAGGTGTTCCAGTCAGGAAGAGTTGTGTGTTGTCTGTGAGAAGTTGCTCTAGTTAGGAAGAGCTGTGTGTTTTCTGTGACAAGGTGTTCTAGTCAGGAAGAGTTGTGTGTTGTCTGTGACAAGGTGCCCTAGTTAGGAAGAGTTGTGTGGTGTCTGTGACAATGTGTTCTAGTCAGGAAGAGTTGTGTGTTGTCTGTGACAAGGTGTTCTAGTCAGGAAGAGTTGTGTGTTGTCTGTGACAAAGTGTCCTAGTTAGGAAGAGTAGCGTGTTGTCTGTGACAAGGTGTTCTAGTAAGCAAGAGTTGTGTGTTGTCTGTGACAAGGTGTTCTAGTTAGGAAGAGCTGTGTTTTGACAAGGTGTTCTAGTTAAGAAGAGCTGTGTGTTGTCTGTGACAAGGTGTTCTAGTTAGGAAGAGTCGTGTGTTGTCTGTGACAAGGTGTCCTAGTTAGGAAGAGTTGTGTGTTGTCTGTGACAAGGTGCTCTAGTTAGGAAGAGCTGTGTGTTGTCTGTGACAAGGTGTTCTAGTTAGGAAGAGTTGTGCGTTGTCTGTGACAAGGTGTTCCAGTTAGGAAGAGTTGTGTGTTGTCTGTGACAAGGTGTTCTAGTTAGGAAGAGTTGTGTGTTGTCTGTGACAAGGTGTTCCAGTTAGGAAGAGCTGTGTGTTGTCTGTGACAAGCTGTTCCAGTTAGGAAGAGCTGTGTGTTGTCTGTGACAAGGTGCTCTAGTTAGGAAGAGTTGTGTGTTGTCTGTGACAAGGTTTTCCAGTTAGGAAGAGTCGTGTGTTGACTGTGACAAGGTGTTCTAGTTAGGAAGAGCTGTGTGTTGTCTGTGACAAGGTGTTCTAGTAAGGAAGAACTATGTGGTGTCTGTGACAAGGTGTTCTAGTTAGGAAGAGTTGTGTGTTGTCTGTGACAAGGTGCTCCAGTTAGGAAGAGTCATGTGTTGTCTGTGATAATGTGGTCTATTAACGAAGAGTTGTGTGTTGTCTGTGACAAGGTGTTCCAGTTAGGAAGAGCTGTGTGTTGTCTGTGACAAGGTGTTCTAGTAAGGAAGAACTATGTGGTGTCTGTGACAAGGTGTTCTAGTTAGGAAGAGTTGTGTGTTGTCTGTGACAAGGTGCTCCAGTTAGGAAGAGTCATGTGTTGTCTGTGATAATGTGGTCTATTAACGAAGAGTTGTGTGTTGTCTGTGACAAGGTGTTCCAGTTAGGAAGAGCTGTGTGTTGTCTGTGACAAGGTGCTCTAGTAAGGAAGAGCTGTGTGTTGTCTGTGACATGGTGCTCTAGTTATGAAGAGTTGTGTGTTGTCTGTGACACGGTGTTCTAGTTAGGAAGAGCTGTGTGTTGTCTGTGACAAGGTGTTCTAGTTAGGAAGAGCTGTGTGTTGTCTGTGACAAGGTGCTCTAGTTAGGAAGAGTTGTGTGTTGTCTGTGACAAGGTGTTCTAGTTAGGAAGAGTTGTTTGTTGTCTGTGACAAGTTGCTCTAGTTAGGAAGAGCTGTGTGTTGTCTGTGACAAGGTGTTGTAGTTAGGAAGAGTTGTGTGTTGTCTGTGACAAGGTGTTCTAGGTAGGAAGAGTCGTGTGTTGTCTGTGACAAGGTGTTCTAGTTAGGAAGAGTTGTGTGTTGTCTGTGACAAGGTGTTCTAGGTAGGAAGAGTCGTGTGTTGTCTGTGACAAGGTGTTCTAGTTAGGAAGAGTTGTGTGTTGTCTGTGACAAGTTGCTCTAGTTAGGAAGAGCTGTGTGTTGTCTGTGACAAGGTGTTCCAGTTAGGAAGAGTTGTGTGTTGTCTGTGACAAGTTGCTCTTGTTAGGAAGAGCTGTGTGTTGTCTGTGACAAGGTGTCCTAGTTAGGAAGAGTTGTGTGTTGTCTGTGACAAGGTGCACTAGTAAGGAACAGTTGTGTTACAATACAACCCCTGTGTATAACCATACCCCTGTATACAACGCAAACCCTGAACACAACACAATCCCTGTTTACAACACAACCCGTGTATACAACACTACTCCTGTATACAAGACAACTCTGTATACAACACAACCCACACGACACAACCCGTGTATACAACACAACTCCTGTATAGAAGACAACCCTGTATACAACACAACCCCCGTATACAACACAACCCCTGTTTACAACACAACCCGTGTATACAAAACTCTGTGTCCAGCTGACGGAGGCTGGAGTGTCTGGTCGGACTGGAATAGAACGTGCAGCGCCACCTGTGGGACTAATATCCCCGCGACGCAGAGAAGAACACGGACATGTGACAACCCTGAACCAGCCAATGGCGGAAATAGCTGCACAGGAGACCCCTCGGAGCAGACCACATCAGCGTGTAACCTAGGATCTTGTGATACAGGTAGGAACCGAACACTGACAGTATGCACTGTCCGTCTAGTTGTCAGGGGCGGTCGGGTAGCCTAGGATCTTGTGAGACAGGTAGGTACCCAACACTGACAGTATACACTGTCCATCTAGTTGTCAGGGGCGGTCGGGTAGCCTAGGATCTTGTGAGACAGGTAGGAACCCAACATTGACAGTATACACTGTCCATCTAGTTGTCAGGGGCGGTCGGGTAGCCTAGGATCTTGTGAGACAAGTAGGTACCCAACACTGACAGTATACACTGTCCGTCTAGTTGTCAGGGGCGGTCGGGTAGCCTAGGATCTTGTGATACAGGTAGGAACCCAACACTGACAGTATGTACTGTCCATCTAGTTGTCAGGGGCGGTCGGGTAGCCTAGGATCTTGTGAGACAGGTAGGTACCCAACACTGACAGTATACACTGTCAGTCTAGTTGTCAGGGGCGGTCGGGTAGCCTAGGATCTTGTGAGACAGGTAGGTACCCAACACTGACAGTATACACTGTCCGTCTAGTTGTCAGGGGCGGTCGGGTAGCCTAGGATCTTGTGATACAAGTAGGAACCCAACACTGACAGTATGCACTGTCCGTCTAGTTGTCAGGGGCGGTCGGGTAGCCTAGGATCTTGTGAGACAGGTAGGTACCCAACACTGACAGTATACACTGTCCGTCTAGTTGTCAGGGGCGGTCGGGTAGCCTAGGATCTTGTGAGACAGGTAGGTACCCAACACTGACAGTATACACTGTCCGTCTAGTTGTCAGGGGCGGTCGGGCAGCCTAGGATCTTGTGATACAAGTAGGAACCCAACACTGACAGTATGCACTGTCCGTCTAGTTGTCAGGGGCGGTCGGGTAGCCTAGGATCTTGTGATACAGGTAGGAACCCAACACTGACAGTATGCACTGTCCATCTAGTTGTCAGGGGCGGTCGGGTAGCCTAGGATCTTGTGATACAGGTAGGAACCCAACACTGACAGTATGCACTATCCGTCTAGTTGTCAGGGGCGGTCGGGTAGCCTAGGATCTTGTGAGACAGGTAGGAACCCAACACTGACAGTATACACTGTCCATCTAGTTGTCAGGGGCGGTCGGGTAGCCTAGGATCTTGTGAGACAGGTAGGTACCCAACACTGACAGTATACACTGTCAGTCTAGTTGTCAGGGGCGGTCGGGTAGCCTAGGATCTTGTGAGACAGGTAGGTACCCAACACTGACAGTATACACTGTCAGTCTAGTTGTCAGGGGCGGTCGGGTAGCCTAGGATCTTGTGAGACAGGTAGGTACCCAACACTGACAGTATACACTGTCCGTCTAGTTGTCAGGGGCGGTCGGGTAGCCTAGGATCTTGTGAGACAGGTAGGTACCCAACACTGACAGTATACACTGTCCGTCTAGTTGTCAGGGGCGGTCGGGTAGCCTAGGATCTTGTGAGACAGGTAGGAACCCAACACTGACAGTATACACTGTCCATCTAGTTGTCAGGGGCGGTCGGGTAGCCTAGGATCTTGTGAGACAGGTAGGTACCCAACACTGACAGTATACACTGTCCGTCTAGTTGTCAGGGGCGGTCGGGTAGCCTAGGATCTTGTGAGACAGGTAGGTACCCAACACTGACAGTATACACTGTCAGTCTAGTTGTCAGGGGCGGTCGGGTAGCCTAGGATCTTGTGAGACAGGTAGGTACCCAACACTGACAGTATACACTGTCCGTCTAGTTGTCAGGGGCGGTCGGGTAGCCTAGGATCTTGTGAGACAGGTAGGTACCCAACACTGACAGTATACACTGTCCGTCTAGTTGTCAGGGGCGGTCGGGTAGCCTAGGATCTTGTGATACAAGTAGGAACCCAACACTGACAGTATACACTGTCCATCTAGTTGTCAGGGGCGGTCGGGTAGCCTAGGATCTTGTGATACAAGTAGGTACCCAACACTGACAGTATACACTGTCCGTCTAGTTGTTTGGGGCGGTCGGGTAGCCTAGGATCTTGTGAGACAGGTAGGTACCCAACACTGACAGTATACACTGTCCGTCTAGTTGTCAGGGGCGGTTGGGTAGCCTAGGATCTTGTGAGACAGGTAGGTACCCAACACTGACAGTATACACTGTCCATCTAGTTGTCAGGGGCGGTCGGGTAGCCTAGGATCTTGTGAGACAGGTAGGAACCCAACACTGACAGTATACACTGTCCATCTAGTTGTCGGGTGCGGTCGGGTAGCCTAGCGGTTAAAGCGTTCGCTCGTCACGTCGAAGACCCGGGTCCGATTCCCAACATGGGTACAATGTGTGAAGCCCATTTCTGGTGTCCCCCGTAGAGATATTGCTGGAATAGTGCTAAAAGCGGCGTAAAACCATACTCACTCACCCATTCTTCTTGTCGGTGTTCAGTGGGTTAAAATGCATGAATGCATTGATACATATTTGACAGCACTTAAGTTTTCTCTTTAGACAATATCAAATAAAGACCCACAAGATGACAGCCATTTCATTTCGGACATACAGATTCAGTGTCATGGAGATGGAAACGTGTTATATACAGATTCAGTGTCACATAACCGTTTTGTCGTTTTCCAAATACAATTGAATTTCTGAGTCGGAGTCTACTCCAGACGGTGGGGATACTGGTTATTACGAATGCTGGTCAGTTCTAAGCCTGACTAACCTTCAACTATGGGCCATAAAAAAAGTGAACTTGTCAATGTAGTACATTGTTTGAGTATTTCATTGCCAGTGTATTTGGTCTGTTGAGCCAGTTTTAGGACACAGACATGGACAAGATGCTTACCAGACCCGGCACAGAGTGATTTCCACCTGTTTCCTAAACTGAAATAACACCTTCGTGGATAGCGCTATGACGACAACGATGTTTGTTTGTTTGTTTGTCGTTTAACGCCACACTCAGCAATATTCCAGCTATATGACGGAGGTCTGTAAATAATCGAGCCTGGACGAGACAACGATGACCTCAAAGCTGTCGTAAATGGGTTTTGCAGGATTGCCTGAGTAAACTTCTTCCTGACTGGAATTGAAAAGTTTCACTATCGATACGAGATGTGCATTGAAAAACAGAGAGATTATGTTGAAACACTTTTACAATTGTCGGTTTTGTTTGTTCGGTGTAGAAATATTTGACCAGCCTTCGTATGTCCCAAAATAACAATCTGACTTCAGAACCAGTTGACGGGGGATGGGATGTGTGGACGAGCTGGCATATCACGAGCTGCTCGGCTACATGCGGCGTCAACGTCGCCGGAGTTTTGCGACGTGCCCGGTACTGCGATCATCCCACGCCACGCAATGGCGGGGCAAACTGTAATGGAAGCCGCATAGAGACCAGCACTGCCGTCTGCACGACGTTGCCCAAGTGTTTCAGTGAGTATACTACTTAATAAAATGCATTTTTTTTTAGTTAAACGGAGCAAAAATATTGAACTTTGTTCACAACATATTTTTTTCAGCTTTTATTGTAAAACCTGAGGACATTACACCCCCTCCCTCGCCCTTGCCGCTCCCCCATCACTGCCCCGCCCTTGCTCCTCCCCCGTCACTGGCTATCCCTTGCCCCTCCCCCATCACTGCCCCGCCCTTGCCCCTCCCCCATCACTGCCCCGCCCTTGCCCTTCCCCCATCACTGCCCCGCCCTTGCCCCTCCCCCGTCACTGCCCCGCCCTTGCCCCTCCCCCATCACTGCCCTGCCCTTGCCCCTCCCCCATCACTGCCCCGCCCTTGCCCCTCCCCCGTCACTGCCCCGCCCTTGCCCCTCCCCTGCCCTTGCTCCTCCCCCGTCACTGGCCATCCCTTGCCCCTCCCCCGTCACTGCCCCGCCCTTGCCCCTCCCCCGTCACTGGCCATCCCTTCACCCGGTCAGTGTCGTAATATAGACGGGTTTCCATGACTCAAACTCGATGTCGTAATATATTAACATCGTTTGCTTGAGTCGCCGTGATGTAATTAAATATCGATGAGGGAGTGAGTGAGTTGGGTTTAACGCCGTTTTTAACAGTATTCCAGTTGTTTCACGGCGTGTCAGCTTAATGTGAGAGGAAATGCCAAAGTGACGCAGGTCTGAGACGTTTACCGCTTCGGTTAAACCCACGAGCACGGAAACATAATCGGGACGAACCGTGAACCCACAATCATAGGATTCTGGCGTGCCCAAGGGACGCAACTCTACACAGCGAATCGCAGCGCCTAAGACGACTGGGCCACCCGTGCCCCCCAACATATCGACGACGACATGCAGACGTGATATATAGGCAATCACTGATAATGGCATCACAGTGTTCCCAACTACCTGTTTTATTAGCCTCATACGTGATTTTGTTCTCGTAGTTCTCAGTGGGCCCCAGAACATCACGCTCCGGTCAGGGCAGAAGCTGACACTGAACGTGGACGTCGACGAGAGTGTCCACTCCAAAGCGGAGTGGCTGCAAAAGGGCAAGGTGCTTCACCCCAGCACGAGGGTCAAGATCTACCACGACAAGGGAAACAACACAATGACCATAGATCAGGTTACCGAGGCCGACAGTGGCGCGTACACGTTCAGAATTGAAGGACAGACGGCGGAGGGCTACGTCACAGTGATTGGTAAGAGGTGGTGTCCAACAGATGGACGTTTGAGCCACGTGGTAGATGCCCACCAGGAGCTAAGGATCCTTACAGTATTTTAGGTATGCTAAGTATTCTAATGAAATACGGTAAAGTTGATACTACAATGTCGCATAGCTTGCCTTGTCTCTAAATCGACACAAGTGTGTGGGAAGTGTATATTCGATGGCACGTTGATACGGTATTCCTCTGCTTATACCACCGGGTTAGAATTGATCTCCAGCAACCTCTGATTGTCTCCCCTTGTGAAGATCCGGGTTAGAATTGGTCTTCAGCAACCCCTGATTGTCTCCCCTTGTGAATATCCGGGTTAGAATTGATCTCCAGCAACCCCTGATTGTCTCCCCTTGTGAAGATCCGGGTTAAAATTGATCTCCAGCAACCCCTGATTGTCTCCCCTTGTGAAGATCCGGGTTAGAATTGATCTCCAGCAACCCCTGATTGTCTCCCCTTGTGAAGATCCGGGTTAGAATTGATCTCCAGCAACCCCTGATTGTCTCCCCTTGTGAAGATCCGGGTTAGAATTGATCTCCAGCAACCCCTGATTGTCTCCCCTTGTGAAGATCCGGGTTAGAATTGATCTCCAGCAACCCCTGATTGTCTCCCCTTGTGAAGATCCGGGTTAGAATTGATCTCCAGCAACCCCTGATTGTCTCCCCTTGTGAAGATCCGGGTTAGAACTGATCTCCAGCAACCCCTGATTGTCTCCCCTTGTGAAGATCCGGGTTAGAATTGGTCTTCAGCAACAGATGTTTGTCGTAAGAGGCGACTAACGGGATCGGAGAGTCAGGCCCGGTGACTTGGTTGATGCATGTCATCATATGCCAATTGCGTAGATCGATGCTCATGATGTGAATCAATGGATTGTCTGGTCCAGACTCAATTATTTACAGACCGCCGTCATATAGCTGGAATATGGCTGATTATGGCGTTAATAAACAACCAGACACATCCCATATCGATCAATGGCCTGTCGCTCAATGGCTTCATGCCCTCAGTGTGGTTCTGTGTTTAGTGGACGGCGGCTGGGGCGGCTGGACGGAGTGGGTGGGGTCGTGTACGGCGACCTGTGGGGACAACATCACGGTGCGTCGGACGAGGAGCAGAGCTTGTGACAGCCCCGCGCCTGGAAATGGCGGGAATGAGTGTGCTGGGAGTACAACAGACAACGAAACTATAGCATGTGACGTGCCGTCCTGTATCCCTGTAGGTAGGTGGTGTGTATAGCTGGGGTGATCTACTAGGGAGGTGATGTGTATAGCTGGGGTGATCTACTAGGGAGGTGTTGTGTATACCCGGGGTAATCTACTAGGGAGGTGTTGTGTATACCCGGGGTGATCTACTAGGGAGGTGTTGTGTATACCCTGGGTGATCTACTAGGGAGGTGATGTGTATAGCTAGGGTGATCTACTAGGGAGGTGGTGTGTATAGCCGGGGTGATCTACTAGGGAGGTGATGTGTATACCCGGGGTGATCTACTAGGGAGGTGTTGTGTATAGCCGGGGTGATCTACTAGGGAGGTGTTGTGTATAGCTAGGGTGATCTACTAGGGAGGTGATGTGTATAGCCGGGGTGATCTACTAGGGAGGTGATGTGTATAGCCGGGGTGATCTACTAGGGAGGTGGTGTGTATAGCCGGGGTGATCTACTAGGGAGGTGTTGTGTATATCTAGGGTGATCTACTAGGGAGGTGATGTGTATAGCCGGGGTGATCCACTAGGGAGGTGGTGTGTATAGCCGGGGTGATCCACTAGGGAGGTGGTGTGTATAGCCGGGGTGATCTACTAGGGAGTTGATGTGTATAGCCGGGGTGATCCACTAGGGAGGTGGTGTGTATAGCCGGGGTGATCCACTAGGGAGGTGATGTGTATAGCCGGGGTGATCCACTAGGGAGGTGATGTGTATATCTAGGGTGATCTACTAGGGAGGTGTTGTGTATACCCTGGGTGATCTACTAGGGAGGTGATGTGTATAGCTAGGGTGATCTACTAGGGAGGTGGTGTGTATAGCCGGGGTGATCTACTAGGGAGGTGATGTGTATACCCGGGGTGATCTACTAGGGAGGTGTTGTGTATAGCCGGGGTGATCTACTAGGGAGGTGTTGTGTATAGCTAGGGTGATCTACTAGGGAGGTGTTGTGTATAGCCGGGGTGATCTACTAGGGAGGTGTTGTGTATACCCGGGGTGATCTACTAGGGAGGTGTTGTGTATAGCTAGGGTGATCTACTAGGGAGGTGATGTGTATAGCCGGTGTGATCTACTAGGGAGGTGGTGTGTATAGCCGGGGTGATCTCCTAGGGAGGTGATGTGTATACCCTGGGTGATCTACTAGGGAGGTGATGTGTATAGCCGGGGTGATCCACTAGGGAGGTGATGTGTATAGCCGGTGTGATCTACTAGGGAGGTGGTGTGTATAGCCGGGGTGATCTCCTAGGGAGGTGATGTGTATACCCGGGGTGATCTACTAGGGAGGTGATGTGTATAGCTGGGATGATCTACTAGGGAGGTGATGTGTATAGCTGGGATGATCTACTAGGGAGGTGATGTGTATAGCTGGGATGATCTACTAGGGAGGTGGTGTGTATAGCCGGGGTGATCTACTAGGGAGGTGATGTGTATAGCTGGGGTGATCTACTAGGGAGGTGATGTGTATAGCCGGGAAGATCTACTAGGGAGGTGATGTGTATAGCCGGGGTGATCTACTAGGGAGGTGTTGTGTATAGCCGGGGTGTACCTGAGATGGAGAGGGCGTGGCAAGGAACTTACAAGTATCTACAACTTTGCCTCCAGTGGTACATTGATCTGATCTGAAGAAAAGCAACTATAACGTAAATAATTGATGTTTTTTAAATTTCTTGTCATAATTTGTTTGGTGGTTCGATTACAGTTAACGGGGGCTGGACTGAGTGGTCGGCGGCGTTAAGGGCGTGTAGCGCCACGTGCGGTCAGTCGATCAGTGGGACGGACACGAGGACACGGACGTGTACCAACCCTGTCCCTAGCGGCGGAGGCAGTCAATGTGCGGGAGATGCAAGCGTATCACAGTCTGTGACCTGCCCAGATATAACATGTCCAGGTTTGAAAACTTCACTTTCCTTGTCAGCCCTATGGGAAGCACGATATAAAATATTGTGATGTCACCGTTACCAAAGTGAGTGAATTGTGTTTGTGTTTGAGCGTGTGTGTTACGGGGTTCGCAACGCCTCTATATTGTTTGACAAAGGGGTTGTAACGCCTCTTTATTGTTTGACAAGGGTGTTGTAACGCCTCTATATTGTTTGACAAAGGGGTTATAACGCCTCTATAATGTTTGACAAGGGTTTTGTAACGCCTCTATATTGTTTGACAAGGGTGTTGTAACGCCTCTATATTGTTTGACAAAGGGGTTATAACGCCTCTATAATGTTTGACAAGGGTTTTGTAACGCCTCTATATTGTTTGACAAGGGTGTTGTAACGCCTCTATACTGTTTGACAAGGGGGTTATAACGCCTCTATAATGTTTGACAAGGGTTTTGTAACGCCTCTATATTGTTTGACAAGGGTGTTGTAACGCCTCTATATTGTTTGACAAGGGTGTTATAACGCCTCTATAATGTTTGACAAGGGGGTTGTAATGCCTCTTTATTGTTTGACAAGGGTGTTGTAACGCCTCTATATTGTTTGACAAGGGGGTTATAACGCCTCTATAATGTTTGACAAGGGGGTTGTAACGCCTCTTTATTGTTTGACAAGGGTGTTGTAACGCCTCTATATTGTTTGACAAAGGGGTTGTAACGCCTCTATGATGTTTGACAAGGGGGTTGTAACGCCTCCATATTGTTTGACAAGAGGGTTGTAACGCTACTATATTGTTTGACAAGGGGGTTGTAACGCCTCCATATTGTTTGACAAGAGGGTTGTAACGCTACTATATTGTTTGACAAGGGGGTTGTAACTCCTCAATAGTGTTTGACAAGGGGGTTGTAACGCCTCCATATTGTTTGACAAGGGGGTTGTAACTCCTATATATTGTTTGACAAGTGGGTTGTAACGCTACTATATTTTTTGACAAGGGGGTTGTAACTCCTCAATAGTGTTTGACAAGGGGGTTGTAACTCCTCAATAGTGTTTGACAAGGGGGTTGTAACTCCTCTATATTGTTTGACAAGTGGGTTGTAACGCTACTTTATTGTTTGACAAGGGGGTTGTAACTCCTCTATATTGTTTGACAAGGGGGTTGTATCGCCTCCATGATGTCTGAGACCTGAGTCGTAACATATGGATGGAAATAATAGTTGCAAGTATATCCCTGCATTCTCTCCTCGGCCAGCCGGGGGCACGGCCGGCCCAGTCGTCGAAGGCGCCGCGTTTCGCTGTGCAGAGTTGCGTCCCTTGGGCACGCCAGAAACCTATGATTGTGATTTCGAATCCCGGTTCACCCCGTACTCGTGGATTTGACCAAAGTTGTAAACGTCTGAGACCTGCATCACTTCGGGCTTTCCCCCCACATTAAGCTGACACGCCGCGATATACTGGAATAATGTTAAAAGCGGCGTTAAACACAACTCACTCACTCACTCACTCGGCCAGCTAGCAGCATCACACTAAATCCCCCCCCCGTGTTCCAGTAAACGGTGGATGGAGTGTGTGGTCGGCGGCGGCAAGAATCTGTGATGCCACGTGCGGTCTGTCGGTCAGTGGGACGGACACGAGGAGGAGGACCTGTACCAACCCTGCTCCGGCTGGCACCGGCACTCCTTGTGGGGCAGAGAACACCCAAGTGACCAGTATCACCTGTCCGGTGTCAGAATGTCCAGGTAAGATGTGTTGCCTGTAGGCTGGCACCGGCACTCCTTGTGGGGCAGAGAACACCCAAGTGACCAGTATCACCTGTCCAGTGTCAGAATGTCCAGGTAAGATGTGTTGCCTGTAGGCTGGCACCGGCACTCCTTGTGGGGCAGAAAACACCCAAGTAACAAGTATCACCTGTCCGGTGTCAGAATGTCCAGGTACGATGTGTTGCCCGTAGGCTGTCAGAATGTCCAGGTGAGATGTGTTACCTGTAGGCTGTCAGAATGTCAAGGTAAGATGTGTTATCTGTAGGCTGTCAGAATGTCCAGGTAAGATGTGTTACCCGTAGGCTGTCAGAATGTCCAGGTGAGATGTGTTACCTGTAGGCTGTCAGAATGTCCAGGTGGGATGTGTTACCCGTAGGCTGTCAGAATGTCCAGGTGAGATGTGTTACCTGTAGGCTGTCAGAATGTCCAGGTGGGATGTGTTACCTGTAGGCTGTCAGAATGTCCAGGTAAGATGTGTTACCTGTAGGCTGTCAGAATGTCCAGGTAGGATATTTTACCTATCCACTGCCAGAATGTCCAGGTAAGATATTTTTCCTATTCACAGCCAGAATGTCCAGGTAAGATATTTTACCTATCCACAGCCAGAATGTCCAGGTAGGATATTTTACCTATCCACTTCCAGAATGTCCAGGTAACATATTTTACCTATCCACTTCCAGAATGTCCAGATAAGATATGTTACCTATCCACTGCCAGAATGTCCAGGTGAGATGTGTTACCTGTAGGCGGTCAGAATGTCCAGGTGGGATGTGTTACCTGTAGGCTGTCAGAATGTCCAGGTACGATATCTTATCTGTAGGCTGTCAGAATGTCCAGGTAAGATGTCTTATCTGTAGGCTGTCAGAATGTAAAGGTGGGATGTGTTACCTGTAGGCTGTCAGAATGTCCAGGTACGATGTGTTACCTGTAGGCTGTCAGAATGTCCAGGTAAGATGTGTTACCTGTAGGCTGTCAGAATGTCCAGGTACGATGTGTTACCTGTAGGCTGTCAGAATGTCAAGGTGGGATGTGTTACCTGTAGGCTGTCAGAATGTCCAGGTAAGATGTGTTACCTGTAGGCTGTCAGAATGTCCAGGTAAGATATGTTACCTATCCACTTCCACAAAGTCCAGGTAAGATATTTTTCCTATCCACATCCAGAATGTCCAGGTAGGATATTTTTCCTATCCACAGCCAGAATGTCCAGGTAAGATAGTTTTCCTATCCACAGCCAGAATGTCCAGGTAGGATATTTTACCTATCCACTTCCAGAATGTCCAGGTAAGATATTTTACCTATCCACTTCCAGAATGTCCAGGTAAGATATTTTACCTATCCACTTCCAGAATGTCCAGGTAAGATATTTTACCTATCCACAGCCAGAATGTCCAGGTAAGATATTTTACCTATCCACTGCCAGAATGTCCAGGTAAGATATTTTTCCTATCCACAGCCAGAATGTCCAGGTAAGATATTTTACCTATCCACTTCCAGAATGTCGAGGTAAGATATTTTACCTATCCACTGCCAGAATGTCCAGGTAAGATATTTTTCCTATCCACAGCCAGAATGTCCAGGTAACATATTTTACCTATCCACTTCCAGAATGTCCAGGTAAGATATGTTACCTATCCACTTCCAGAATGTCCAGGTAAGATATTTTACCTATCCACTTCCAGAATGTCCAGGTAAGATATTTAACCTATTCACTTCCAGAATGTCCAGGTAAGATATTTTACCTATCCACAGCCAGAATGTCCAGGTAAGATATTTTACCTATCCACTGCCAGAATGTCCAGGTAAGATATTTTACCTATCCACTTCCAGAATGTCCAGGTGAGATATGTTACCTATCCACTTCGAGAATGTCCAGGTAAGATATTTTACCTATCCACTTCCAGAATGTCCAGGTAAGATATGTTACCTATCCACTTCCAGAATGTCCAGGTAAGATATTTTACCTATCCACTGTCAGAATGTCCAGGTAAGATATTTTACCTATCCACTTCCAGAATGTCCAGGTAAGACATTTTACCTATCCACTGCCAGAATGTCCAGGTAAGATATTTTACCTATCCACTGTCAGAATGTCCAGGTAAGATATTTTACCTATCCACTGCCAGAATGTCCAGGTAGGATATTTTACCTATCCACTGTCAGAATGTCCAGGTAGGATATTTTACCTATCCACTGTTAGAATGTCCAGGTAGGATATTTTACCTATCCACTGCCAGAATGTCCAGGTAAGATATTTTACCTATCCACAGCCAGAATGTCCAGGTAAGATATTTTACCTATCCACTGTCAGAATGTCCAGGTAGGATATTTTACCTATCCACTGCCAGAATGTCCAGGTAAGATATTTTACCTATCCACAGCCAGAATGTCCAGGTAAGATATTTTACCTATCCACTGCCAGAATGTCCAGGTAGGATATTTTACCTATCCACTGTCAGGATGTCCAGGTAGGATATTTTACCTATCCACTGTCAGAATGTCCAGGTAGGATATTTTACCTATCCACTGTCAGAATGTCCAGGTAAGATATTTTACCTATCCACTGTCAGAATGTCCAGGTAGGATATTTTACCTATCCACTGCCAGAATGTCCAGGTAGGATATTTTACCTATCCACTGTCAGAATGTCCAGGTAGGATATTTTACCTATCCACTGTCAGAATGTCCAGGTAAGATATTTTACCTATCCACAGCCAGAATGTCCAGGTAAGATATTTTACCTATCCACTGTCAGAATGTCCAGGTAAGATATTTTACCTATCCACTGTCAGAATGTCCAGGTAAGATATTTTACCTATCCACTTCCAGAATGTCCAGGTAGGATATTTTTCCTATCCACAGCCAGAATGTCCAGGTAAGATATGTTACCTATCCACTGTCAGAATGTCCAGGTAGGATATTTTTCCTATCCACAGCCAGAATGTCCAGGTAAGATATTTTACCTATCCACTGTCAGAATGTCCAGGTAGGATATTTTACCTATCCACTGTCAGAATGTCCAGGTAAGATATGTTACCTATCCACTTCGAGAATGTCCAGGTAGGATATTTTTCATATCCACAGCCAGAATGTCCAGGTAAGATATTTTACCTATCCACTGCCAGAATGTCCAGGTAAGATATTTTACCTATCCACTTCCAGAATGTCCAGGTAGGATATTTTTCCTATCCACAGCCAGAATGTCCAAGTAAGATATTTTACCTATCCACTGTCAGAATGTCCAGGTAGGATATTTTACCTATCCACAGCCAGAATGTCCAGGTAGGATATTTTACCTATCCACTGTCAGAATGTCCAGGTAGGATATTTTTCCTATCCACTGCCAGAATGTCCAGGTAAGATATTTTACCTATCCACTGTCAGAATGTCCAGGTAGGATATTTTACCTATCCACAGCCAGAATGTCCAGGTAGGATATTGTACCTATCCACTGTCAGAATGTCCAGGTAGGATATTTTTCCTATCCACAGCCAGAATGTCCAGGTAAGATATTTTACCTATCCACTTCCAGAATGTCCAGGTAGGATATTTTTCCTATCCACAGCCAGAATGTCCAGGTAAGATATTTTACCTATCCACTGTCAGAATGTCCAGGTAAGATATTTTACCTATCCACAGCCAGAATGTCCAGGTAGGATATTTTTCCTATCCACAGCCAGAATGTCCAGGTAAGATATGTTACCTATCCACTGTCAGAATGTCCAGGTAGGATATTTTACCTATCCACTTCCAGAATGTCCAGGTAGGATATTTTACCTATCCACTGTCAGAATGTCCAGGTAGGATATTTTTCCTATCCACAGCCAGAATGTCCAGGTAAGATATTTTACCTATCCACTGCCAGAATGTCCAGGTAGGATATTTTACCTATCCACAGCCAGAATGTCCAGGTAGGATATTTTACCTATCCACTGTCAGAATGTCCAGGTAGGATATTTTACCTATCCACTGTCAGAATGTCCAGGTAAGATATTTTACCTATCCACTGCCAGAATGTCCAGGTAGGATATTTTACCTATCCACTGTCAGAATGTCCAGGTAGGATATTTTTCCTATCCACAGCCAGAATGTCCAGGTAGGATATCTTACTTATCCACTGTCAGAATGTCCAGGTAGGATATACCTGTTCAGTGTAGGGGGATGCAAGTGACATGTTACTGTTTTGTATTGGTATTGGCCGTTTCTGTGTCACTCCCTTCTCGGCGTCTGTGTATTTTCAGTTGCTTTCACCAGAGGACTGCAAGATGTCCGCGTCCCTGTCGGGGACACCGTGGCCTTGTCGGCTCAGCTGACCACTGCCGGACATTCGGGCTGGAGCTGGATGAAGGATGGGGTTGCTGTTACAGAGGGGGACAGGATCAAGTTCTCCGAGGACGGTGACACATACGGCCTGACCCTGACGGGGGCGGGCGTGGCTGACTCCGGGAAGTATGTCTTCAGCGTCGGGGGAAAGACGTCGGAGGGGACAGTGACAGTGTTTGGTAAGATTATGTATTGTGACGTTGTTTGGTAAATTGTAATAGGTTTTGTGTAATGGCGCTGTGATTGTGGGTGTGTAATATGGATGGACTGTTTTGGATAATAATTGTGCTACAAGTCTTGAGTAATGTCAAGGTTTTGCCAACGTGATGGTGTGTTATTAAACGTGCGTCAGTACATTGGGAGAATATATCTGCAATAGCCTAAAGATAGCAAGAGGATAATGCTGATTATAGAGGGGTAAGCTTAAGGCTCGGGATATGGTAAATGTGAAGAGCAGCTGGTGGTAGTTGGTATGTTGGTTTCACGTCTCGCATGGTATTGGAGGGTAGTGGGTATGTTGGTTTCACGTCTCGCATGGTATTGGAGGGTAGTGGGTATGTTGGTTTCATGTCCAGCACGGTATTGGAGGGTAGTGGGTATGTTGGTTTCACGTCCAGCATGGTATTGGTCGGTAGTGGGTATGTTGGTTTCGTGTCCAGCATGGTATTGGTCGGTAGTGGGTATGTTGGTTTCACGTCCAGCATGGTATTGGTCGGTAGTGGGTATGTTGGTTTCACGTCCAGCATGGTATTGGTGGGTAGTGGGTATGTTGGTTTCATGTCCAGCATGGTATTGGAGGGTAGTGGGTATGTTGGTTTCATGTCCAGCATGGTATTGGTGGGTAGTGGGTATGTTGGTTTCATGTCCAGGATGTTTTTGGTCGGTAGTGGGTATGTTGGTTTCACGTCCAGCATGATATTGGAGGGTAGTGGGTATGTTGGTTTCACGTCCAGCATGGTATTGGTCGGTAGTTGCTATGTTGGTTTCACATCCAGCATGGTATTGGTCGGTAGTGGGTATGTTGGTTTCACATCCAGCATGGTATTGGTCGGTAGTGGGTATGTTGGTTTCACGTCCAGCATGGTATTGGTCGGTAGTGGGTATGTTGGTTTCATGTCCAGCATGGTATTGGTCGGTAGTGGGTATGTTGGTTTCATGTCCAGCATGGTATTGGAGGGTAGTGGGTATGTTGGTTTCACATCCAGCATGGTATTGGTCGGTAGTGGGTATGTTGGTTTCACGTCCAGCATGGTATTGGTCGGTAGTGGGTATGTTGGTTTCACATCTCGCATGGTATTGGAGGGTAGTGGGTATGTTGATTTCATGTCCAGCATGGTATTGGTCGGTAGTGGGTATGTTGATTTCACGTCTCGCATGGTATTGGTGTGTAGTGGGTATGTTGGTGTCACGTCCAGCATGGTATTGGTCGGTAGTGGGTATGTTGGTTTCACGTCTCGCGTGGTATTGGAGGGTAGTGGGTATGTTGGTTTCGTGTCCAGCATGGTATTGGTCGGTAGTGGGTATGTTGGTTTCACGTCCAGCATGGTATTGGAGGGTAGTGGGTATGTTGGTTTCGCGTCCAGCATGGTATTGGTCGGTAGTGGGTATGTTGGTTTCACGTCCAGCATGGTATTGGAGGGTAGTGGGTATGTTGGTTTCGTGTCCAGCATGGTATTGGTCGGTAGTGGGTATGTTGGTTTCACGTCCAGCATGGTATTGGAGGGTAGTGGGTATGTTGGTTTTATGTCCAGCATGGTATTGGAGGGTAGTGGGTATGTTGGTTTCATGTCCAGCATGGTATTGGTCGGTAGTGGGTATGTTGGTTTCACGTCCAGCATGGTATTGGTCGGTAGTGGGTATGTTGGTTTTATGTCCAGCATGGTATTGGTCGGTAGTAGGTATGTTGGTTTCACGTCCAGCATGGTATTGGTCGGTAGTGGGTATGTTGGTTTCACGTCCAGCATGGTATTGGAGGGTAGTAGGTATGTTGGTTTCACGTCCAGCATGGTATTGGAGGGTAGTGGGTATGTTGGTTTCACGTCCAGCATGGTATTGGTCGGTAGTGGGTATGTTGGTTTTATGTCCAGCATGGTATTGGAGGGTAGTGGGTATGTTGGTTTCATGTCCAGCATGGCATTGGAGGGTAGTGGGTATGTTGGTTCCATGTCCAGCATGGTATTGGAGGGTAGTGGGTATGTTGGTTTCATGTCCAGCATGGTATTGGTCGGTAGTGGGTATGTTGGTTTCACGTCTCGCATGGTATTGGAGGGTAGTGGGTATGTTGATTTCATGTCCAGCATGGTATTGGTCGGTAGTGGGTATGTTGATTTCACGTCTCGCATGGTATTGGTGTGTAGTGGGTATGTTGGTTTCACGTCCAGCATGGTATTGGTGGGTAGTGGGTATGTTGGTTTCACGTCTCGCGTGGTATTGGTGGGTAGTGGGTATGTTGGTTTCATGTCCAGCATGGTATTGGTCGGTAGTGGGTATGTTGGTTTCACGTCCAGCATGGTATTTGAGGGTAGTGGGTATGTTGGTTTCACGTCCAGCATGGTATTGGTCGGTAGTGGGTATGTTGGTTTCACGTCTCGCATGGTATTGGAGGGTAGTGGGTATGTTGGTTTCACGTCCAGCATGGTATTGGTCGGTAGTGGGTATGTTGGTTTCACGTCCAGCATGGTATTGGTCGGTAGTGGGTATGTTGGTTTCATGTCCAGCATGGTATTGGTCGGTAGTGGGTATGTTGGTTTCATGTCCAGCACGGTATTGGAGGGTAGTGGGTATGTTGGTTCCATGTCCAGCATGGTATTGGAGGGTAGTGGGTATGTTGGTTTCACGTCCAGCATGGTATTGGTCGGTAGTGGGTATGTTGGTTTCATGTCCAGCATGGTATTGGAGGGTAGTGGGTATGTTGGTTCCATGTCCAGCATGGTATTGGTCGGTAGTGGGTATGTTGGTTTCATGTCCAGCACGGTATTGGAGGGTAGTGGGTATGTTGGTTTCATGTCCAGCATGGTATTGGTCGGTAGTGGGTATGTTGGTTTCATGTCCAGCACGGTATTGGAGGGTAGTGGGTATGTTGGTTCCATGTCCAGCATGGTATTGGTCGGTAGTGGGTATGTTGGTTTCACATCCAGCATGGTATTGGTCGGTAGTGGGTATGTTGGTTTCACGTCCAACATGGTATTGGAGGGTAGTGGGTATGTTGGTTTCATGTCCAGCATGGTATTGGTCGGTAGTGGGTATGTTGGTTTCATGTCCAGCATGGTATTGGTCGGTAGTGGGTATGTTGGTTTCACGTCCAGCATGGTATTGGTCGGTAGTGGGTATGTTGGTTTCACGTCCAGCATGGTATTGGTCGGTAGTGGGTATGTTGGTTTCACGTCCAGCATGGTATTGGAGGGTAGTAGGTATGTTGGTTTCATGTCCAGCATGGTATTGGTGGGTAGTGGGTATGTTGGTTTCATGTCAAGCATGGTATTGGTCGGTAGTGGGTATGTTGGTTTCACGTCCAGCATGGTATTGGTCGGTAGTGGGTATGTTGGTTTCATGTCCAGCATGGTATTGGTCGGTAGTGGGTATGTTGGTTTCACGTCCAGCATGGTATTGGTGGGTAGTGGGTATGTTGGTTTCACGTCCAGCATGGTATTGGTGGGTAGTGGGTATGTTGGTTTCACGTCTCGTATGGTATTGGTCGGTAGTGGGTATGTTGGTTTCATGTCTCGTATGGTATTGGTCGGTAGTGGGTATGTTGGTTTCACGTCCAGCATGGTATTGGAGGGTAGTAGGTATGTTGGTTTCACGTCCAGCCTGGTATTGGAGGGTAGTGGGTATGTTGGTTTCATGTCCAGCATGGTATTGGTCGGTAGTTACTATGTTGGTTTAATTCCTTCCTGGTTTTGGCAGCTGACGGTGGCTGGTCGAACTGGGCGTCATGGCGGAGGTTCTGCTTGGCGTCATGTGGCATGGCCGGGGGTGTTGACAACAGGACCCGGGCGTGTAACAACCCTGCCCCCAGCAACGGGGGAGCATCGTGTGAAGGGGAAGCTGTGGAGATGAAGAATGCGCAGTGTGTACTGCCACCATGTCCCAACACAGGTAACGTCAGGTCCCAGTATAGGTGACGTCATGTCCTACTATAGGTGATGTCATGTCCCACTATAGGTGATGTCATGTGCCACTATAGATAACGTCATGAACCACTATAGGTGACGTCATGTCCTACTACAGGTGACGTCCTGTTCCACTTCAGGTGATGTCGTGTCCCACTATAGGTGATGTCGTGTCCCACTATAGGTGATGTCGTGTCCCACTTTAGATGACGTCATGGCCCACTATAGGTGACGTCATGTGCCACGATAGGTAGCGTCATGTCCCACTGTAGGTGATGTTGTGTCCCACTATAGGTGATGTCATGACCCACTATAGGTGATGTCGTTTCCCACTAAAGGTGATGTCATGTCCCGCTATAGGTGATGTCGTGTCCCACTATAGGTGACGTCATGGCCCACTATAGATGACATCATGTGCCACTACAGGTAACGTTATGTCCCACTTTAGGTGACGTCATATAACACTACAGGTAACGTCATGTCCCACTATAGGTGACGTCATGTGTCACTATAGGTAAGGTCATATCCCAACATAAGTGGCGTCATATAACCCTATAGTTAACGTCATATCCCAACATAAGTGGCGTCATATAACCCTATAGTTAACGTCATATCCCAACATAAGTGGCGTCTTATAACACTATAGTTAACGTCATGTCCCACTATGGGTGGCGTCATATAACACTATAGTTAACGTCATATCCCAACATAAGTGGCGTCTTATAACACTATAGTTAACGTCATGTCCCACTATGGGTGGCGTCATATAACACTATAGTTAACGTCATATCCCAACATAAGTGACGTCTTATTACACTGTTGTTAACGTCATATCCCAACATAAGTGGTGTCATATAACACTATAGTTAACGTCATATCCCAACATAAGTGGCGTCATATAACACTATAGTTAACGTCATATCCCAACATAAGTGGTGTCATATAACACTATAGTTAACGTCATATCCCAACATAAGTGACGTCTTATTACACTGTTGTTAACGTCATATCCCAACATAGGTGGTGTCATATAACACTATAGGTAACGTCATGTCCCTTTATAGGTAAAGTCATGTTCCACTTTAGGTAACATGATATCCTACAATAGGTAACATTATGCAACGTCCTACTTCAGGTAACGTAAATTCTGGTTAACAATCTTTTTCATATGACACGTTGTTATCACTCTAAACAGAGTGAACAGTCTAACCATCCACTCAAGACGTCCTAACAAATACATATGTGTGACAGTGACCTTTACTGTGTCTGTGTGTGACTGTGACGTTTACTGTGTCTGTGTGTGACACTGATGTTTACTGTGTCTGTGTGTGACTGTGACGTTTACTGTCTCTGTGCGTGACACTGATGTTTACTGTGTCTGTGTGTGACAGTGATGTTTACTGTGTGTGTGTGTGTGACAGTGACCTTTACTGTGTCTGTGTGTGACAGTGACCTTTACTGTGTCTGTGTGTGACAGTGACCTTTACTGTGTCTGTGTGTGACAGTGACGTTTACTGTGTCTGTGTGTGACAGTGACGTTTACTGTGTCTGTGTGTGACAGTGACCTTTACTGTGTCTGTGTGTGACAGTGACGTTTACTGTGTCTGTGTGTGACAGTGACGTTTACTGTGTCTGTGTGTGACAGTGACGTTTACCGTGTCTGTGTGTGACAGTGACGTTTACTGTCTGTGTGTGACAGTGACGTTTACTGTGTCTGTGTGTGACAGTGACGTTTACTGTGTCTGTGTGTGACAGTGACGTTTACTGTGTCTGTGTGTGACAGTGACGTTTACTGTGTTTGTGTGTGACAGTGACCTTTACTCTGTGTGTGTGACACTGATGTTTACTGTGTCTGTGTGTGACAGTGACCTTTACTGTGTGTGTGTGACACTGATGTTTACTGTGTGTGTGTGACACTGATGTTTACTGTGTCTGTGGGTGACACCGATGTTTACTGTGTGTGTGTGTGTGACACTGATGTTTACTTTGTCTGTGTGTGACAGTGACCTTTACTGTGTCTGTGTGTGACACTGATGTTTACTGTGTCTGTGTGTGACAGTGACCTTTACTGTGTGTGTGTGACACTGATGTTTACTGTGTCTGTGTGTGACAGTGACGTTTACTGTGTCTGTGTGTGACAGTGACGTTTACTGTGTCTGTGTGTGACACTGATGTTTGTTCTGTGTGTGTGACACCGATGTTTACTGTGTCTGGGTGTGACACTGATGTTTACTCTGTGTGTGTGACACTGATGTTTACTGTGTCTGTGTGTGACACCGATTTTTACTGTGTGTGTGTGACACTGATGTTTACTGTGTCTGTGTGTGACAGTGATGTTAACTGTGTCTGTGTGTGACACTGATGTTTACAGTGTCTGTGTGTGACACTGATGTTTACTGTGTCTGTGTGTGACAGTGACGTTTACTGTGTTTGTGTGTGACAGTGACCTTTACTCTGTGTGTGTGACACTGATGTTTACTGTGTCTGTGTGTGACAGTGACCTTTACTGTGTGTGTGTGACACTGATGTTTACTGTGTGTGTGTGACACTGATGTTTACTGTGTCTGTGGGTGACACCGATGTTTACTGTGTGTGTGTGTGTGACACTGATGTTTACTGTGTCTGTGTGTGACAGTGACCTTTACTGTGTCTGTGTGTGACACTGATGTTTACTGTGTCTGTGTGTGACAGTGACCTTTACTGTGTGTGTGTGTGACACTGATGTTTACTGTGTCTGTGTGTGACAGTGACGTTTACTGTGTCTGTGTGTGACAGTGACGTTTACTGTGTCTGTGTGTGACACTGATGTTTGTTCTGTGTGTGTGACACCGATGTTTACTGTGTCTGTGTGTGACACTGATGTTTACTCTGTGTGTGTGACACTGATGTTTACTGTGTCTGTGTGTGACACCGATTTTTACTGTGTGTGTGTGACACTGATGTTTACTGTGTCTGTGTGTGACAGTGATGTTAACTGTGTCTGTGTGTGACACTGATGTTTACAGTGTCTGTGTGTGACAATGACATTTACTGTGTCTGTGTGATGGGGATGTTTACTGTGTATGTGTGATGGGGATGTTTACTGTGTATGTGTGTGACACTGATGTTTACTGTATATGTGTGTGACACTGATGTTTACTGTGTCTGTGTGTGACACTGATGTTTACTGTGTCTGAATGTGACACTGATGTTTACTGTGTGTGTGTGTGGCACAGATGTTTACTGTATGTGTGATGGGGATGTTTACTGTGTCTGTGTGTGACAATGAGGTTAAATGTGTCTGTGTGATGGGGATGTTTACTGTGTCTGTGTGCGACAGTGACGTTTACTGTGTATTAGTGTGACTGTGACGTGTACAGTGTCTGTGTGTGACTGTGACGTGTACAGTGTCTGTGTGTGACTGTGACGTGTACATTGTCTGTGTGTGACAGTGACGTTTACTGTGTATGTGTGTGACCGTGACGTTTACTGTGTATGTGTGTGACAGTGACGTGTACAGTGTCTGTGTGTGACTGTGACGTGTACATTGTCTGTGTGTGACAGTGACGTTTACTGTGTATGTGTGTGACCGTGACGTTTACTGTGTATGTGTGTGACAGTGACGTGTACAGTGTCCGTGTGTGACATTGACGTGTACAGTGTCTGTGTGTGACAGTGACGTTTACTGTGTATGTGTGTGACTGTGACATGTACAGTGTATGTGTGTGACAGTGACGTTTACTGTGTCTGTGTGTGACAGTGACGTTTACTGTGTCTGTGTGTGACAGTGACGTTTACTGTGTATGTGTGTGACTGTGACGTGTACAGTGTCTGTGTGAGACAGTGACGTGTACAGTGTATGTGTGTGACAGTGACGTTTACTGTGTCTGTGTGTGACTGTGACATGTACAGTGTATGTGTTTGACAGTGACGTTTACTGTGTCTGTGTGTGACAGTGACGTGTACAGTGTCTGTGTGTGACAGTAACGTTTACTTTGTGTGTAACTGTTACGTGTTCTGTGTCTGTGTGTGACAGTGACGTTCACTGCATCTGTGTGAGACAGTGATGTTTACTGCGACTGTGTAACAGTGATGTTTACTGCGACTGTGTAACAGTGATATTTACTGCGACTGTGTAACAGTGGTGTTTACTGCGACTGTGTAACAGTGATGTTTACTGCGACTGTGTAACAGTGATGTTTACTGCGACTGTGTAACAGTGATATTTACTGCGACTGTGTAACAGTGGTGTTTACTGCGACTGTGTAACAGTGATGTTTACTGCGACTGTGTAACAGTGATGTTTACTGCGACTGTGTAACAGTGACGTTTACTGCGACTGTGTAACAGTGATATTTACTGCGACTGTGTAACAGTGATGTTTACTGCGACTGTGTAACAGTGATATTTACTGCGACTGTGTAACAGTGATGTTTACTGCGACTGTGTAACAGTGATGTTTACTGCGACTGTGTAACAGTGATGTTTACTGCGACTGTGTAACAGTGATATTTACTGCGACTGTGGAACAGTGATATTTACTGCGACTGTGTAACAGTGATGTTTACTGCGACTGTGTAACAGTGATATTTACTGCGACTGTGTAACAGTGATGTTTACTGCGACTGTGTAACAGTGATGTTTACTGCGACTGTGTAACAGTGATGTTTACTGCCTCTGTGTTACAGTGATGTTTACTGCGACTGTGTAACAGTGATGTTTACTGCGACTGTGTAACAGTGATGTTTACTGCGACTGTGTAACAGTGATGTTTACTGCGACTGTGTAACAGTGATGTTTACTGCGACTGTGTAACAGTGATGTTTACTGCGACTGTGTATCAGTGATGTTTACTGCGACTGTGTAACAGTGATGTTTACTGCCTCTGTGTTACAGTGACGTTTGCTCTGTGTGTGTTTAACTACAGTGAACGGCGGTTGGAGTGTGTGGACCGAGTGGGCTGTTGTCTGCACTGGATCCTGCGGCTCTGTGCCTGGAGAAGCTAACAGAACCCGCGCATGTGACAACCCCCCGCCCAGTACCACCGGCGCCCCGTGTTCCGGGGGATACATACAGAGGAAGTACCAGGTGTGTCACCTGGGCGCCTGCAACGACACGGGTCAGTTAATGTCACGTGACTTGTCATAGCAATCCACACTCATTTCCGGTAAAGATTAAAAAATATAAACTTGATTATTAAGACATTATATGCAGACTAATGATAATGTTCCCTGTGTTCTTGTTGGTTTTATTATACCCCGACATATATAGTTATACCAAGATTCCGTCCGTCCGTCCGTCCGTCCGAAAACTTTGTCCGCGCGATTTCTCTTAAACTATTCAATGGATTCATCTCAAACTTAGTACATATAATCTGTGTCATATGGAGGGGTGCAGTCAAAAGAATAAAAAATTGTTTTCATTAATTTTCCATTTTTTTATGGATTTTTCAAACCCTAACGTCCGTCTGAAAACTTTGTCCGCGCGATTTCTCTAAAACTATTCAGTGGATTCATCTCAAACTTAGTACATATAATCTGTGTCATATGGAGGGATGCAGTCAAAAGAAAAAAAATGTTTTCATTAATTTTCCATTTTTTTATGGATTTTTCAAACCCTAACGTCCGTCTGAAAACTTTGTCCGCGCGATTTCTCTAAAACTATTCAGTGGATTCATCTCAAACTTAGTACATATAATCTGTGTCATATGGAGGGGTGCAGTCAAAAGAAAAAAAATGTTTTCATTAATTTTCCATTTTTTTATGGATTTTTCAAACCCTAACGTCCGTCTGAAAACTTTGTCCGCGGGATTTCTCTTAAACTATTCAGTGGATTCATCTCAAACTTAGTACATATAATCTGTGTCATATGGAGGGGTGCAGTCAAAAGAAAAAAAATGTTTTCATTAATTTTCCATTTTTTTAATGAATTTTTCAAACCCTAAGTTAACCCTATCCCAGCTATTTAATTTGTAACTACTGACACACTAGGCGGGTCGGGGGTATTAGTGAGCCACGCTCACTGTTGCACTTGTTTTCCCCTGGTATCCATGATGAGAGATGATATATATGTACCTGGTGTCCGCCATCACTATTGACCTTGTGTTTAATGTTCTGATGTCCTCGTCTGCGCAGTAATCTCCGGGGTGAAGGACGCTCAGGTTGAAGCAGGGGCCCCAATCGAGTTGTCTGTGCAGCTAAATCAACCAGTAGAAACCGGTTGGCAGTGGATGAAGGACGGCGTCCCCATTTCCCAGGATACCCGGAACGGGATGACCCGGGACGGCAACGTCTACCGCTTGACCAGGCTCCAGTCGACCGTCCCCGACTCTGGCAAATACACCTTCACTGCTGGAGCCGCGACGTCAGAGGGCACGGTGACGGTGTTTGGTACGTCGCCAATAACCGCGTGTGTTTGTGTGTTTGTGTGTTTGTGTGTGTTTGTGTTTATGTATTGCCTCTCTGTGTGTGTTTGTGTGTGTATTTTTGTCTGTCTGTCTGTCTGTCTGTCTGTCTGTCTGTCTGTCTCTCTCTCTCTCTCTCTCTCTCTCTCTCTATATATATATATATATATAAATATATATATATACACAGTAAAAAAAGTGTTGCACCCCCTATACTTTTTCATGGAGGGGTGTTTTGAAAGGGTGTAAAGATAACCGAATTAATATTATAACCAGGATTTCGTGTATACCAACAAACCAGTGTATTGTCTATACAATGAACTTAAATGGGGTATTCCATGACCTTATGGCATGTAATAATCTCATGCTGAACTTTTACGAAAAATGAACGAACAACGAAGACGCATTAAGTATGGTGACATCTCAATAATTTTTAGTGACCAAATTCATCCAATAGGGTAAGAATGTCATATGGAGATTTGACGAACACAGTAAGTCAATATCGAGAACTTCCACCAAGCACTTGGATCACAGCTTGAAGTCTTCGTCTCATACTCCTCACCAGACGTTGGAATCGCTCCATGGGCAGCTGCTGCCACTCCTCGTGTAATGCTGCTTCCAATTCACGCAAGTTCTGTGGAGGAGGGTCCCGACGATAAATCAGGCGTCCCAAAATGTCCCATACATGTTCCAGAGGATTCAGATCTGGACTCATTGCTGGCCATGGAATCTGCGTCAGAGCATTGTTGTGGATAACCTGGGTCACAGCTCGTGAACGATGTGGTCTGGCATTGTCATCCATGAATATCGGTCTGGTGGCCAGTGGATGATTGTCAAAATGGGGCACCACAACTGGATTCAGCACCTCTTGGATGTAGCGCTCCCCTGTCAAGTTGCCTCGTATGGTCACTAAATCAAGCTTACAATCAAATGAGAAGCATCCCCAGACCATAACAGATCCACCTCCATATGGTACAGTTGGCATGATGTTTCTTGCAGTATAAGCTGTTCCAGGACGCCTCCATACTCTCACTCTGCCATCCACAACATGCAGAAGGAACCTGCTTTCGTCCGACCAGTGGACTCTTCTCCAGGACCTCAAGTTCCAGTTCTGTCTCAGTCTACACCAGGCTAGACGTAGTCGTTTGTGGTTGTCTGTGAGTTTAGGTCGCTTGATAACCCTTCTGGACTTCAACCCTGCAGCTTTAAGACGATTTCTCACGGTCTGGGTACTGAACTGTTGACGAGGAAGCCAAAGACGTTTCAAGGTTGTGCTTGTAGCAAATGGATGACGCCTTACCACCCTCAACAACGCTCTGTCATCTCTAACTGTGGTCTTACGTGGTCTGCCAGAGGGTCTGCGATTCCTTACATCATTAGTTTGTGCGTGTTTTCTGACCAAACGGCTTATTGTTGAGTAGTGATGTCCGGTTCTTCTGCCAATCTCCTTGAACGAAAGACCTGCTCCATGAAGGCCAATAATCTGCCACTTGACTGCTTCTGACAATCGTCTACCCGGCATTGTGGGTTACAATAAACTGGGCTGTCAGAGAACATCTTTTATAGGCGATGTTGAGCTTAAGAAGATACTGCAATCTGCAAATGTCATGCACCATGCAATTCACGTGCTGATTGCTACGTTTTGGTGATCATCTTCCCTCCGAAAACATTACACATTTAACATCAGATCCCCAAGGAATACCTACCATTAAAACCAGAGTCGGGCGTTTTAAATGTTGTGATGTATCAAACGTATTAATGTGGGGGTGCAACACTTTTTTTACTGTGTATATATATGTGTGTGTGTGTATTGTCTGTGTGTGTTGTCTATATATATGTGTGTGTGTATTTTCTGTGTGTATGTGCAAAGAAAGTAATTTATTGATGTCAACTTCTTCATTATGGTCAAATGGAAATGAAAGCCATGAATCATTAATCCCTGATTGCTAAAAAGCAAAGGGCAAAAAGGAGGGCAGGGGGTAATTATCACTGAGAGGTAATAACATTTGTCCATTACTACTGTCCATTGCTATTATCGATCAGCGTAAATAAACTGTTAGGCCCCCCATGTTAAGTTTTCACCTGTGTTATTGTAGGTATTTTCTTGTTACATATATATTCTCTCTGCTTCCTGGCACTCATTCACCTGATGAAGGAGTAAGCATATACCCCGTAACGTTGTGTTCCTCACAAGAAAGAGGTTGACAACAGCGTGACGTCAGCGAACATGTATACAGGATGTGAATATTTAAGTGTGTGGCATATCGTGACGTCAGCAAAAACACACCATGTTTCTGATTGAGGGTGTAGCATAGCGTGACGTCAGCGAACACACACCATGTTACTGACTGAGTGTGTGGCACAGCGTGACTTCAGCGAACACACACCATGTTACTGACTGAAGTGTAGCATAGCGTGACGTCAGCGAACACACACCATGTTACTGATTGAGGGTGTAGCATAGCGTGACGTCAGCGAACACACACCATGTTACTGACTGAGTGTGTGGCACAGCGTGACGTCAGCGAACACACACCATGTTACTGACTGAAGTGTAGCATAGCGTGACGTCAGCGAACACAGACCATGTTACTGACTAAGTGTGTGGCATAGCGTGACGTCAGCGAACACACACCATGTTACTGACTGAGTATGTGGCATAGCGTGACGTCAGCAAACAAACACCATGTTACTGACTGAGTTTGTGGCATAGTATGACGTCAGCGAACACACACCATGTTACTGACTGAGTGTGTGGCATAGTGTGACGTCAGCGAACATGTACACAGGATGTGAATAGTTAAGTGTGTGGCATAGCGTAATGTCAGCGAACACACACCGTGTTACTGATTGAGTGTGTGGGATAGCATGACGTCAGCAAACACACACCATGTTACTGATTGAGTGTGTGGCATAGCATGACGTCAGCGAACACACACCATGTTGCTGACTGAGTGTGTGGTATAGCGTGACGTCAGCGAACACACACCATGTTACTGATTGAGGGTGTAGCAAAGCGTGACGTCAGCGGCCATATACACAGGGTGTGAATATTTAAGTGTGTGGCATAGTGTGACGTCAGCGAACACACACCATGTTACTGACTGAGTGTGTTGCATAGCGAGACGTCAGCGAACATGTACACAGGATGTGAATATTTGAGTGTGTTGCATAGCGTGACTTCAGCGAAGAAACATGTGAATATATGAGAATGTGGCAAAGTGTGACGTCAGCGAACACACACCATGTTACTGATTGAGTGTGTGGCATAGCGTGACGTCAGCGAATATACATATCTGCCATTGTCTGTTGATGCTGCAGTTAACGGGGCCTGGACGGAGTGGTCGCCGGCTGTGAGGGTGTGTGGCGCCACGTGCGGTCAGTCGGTCAGTGGGACGGACACGAGGACACGGACATGTACCAACCCTGTTCCAGTCAATGGCGGAAGCACCTGTGTTGGCAATCCACTGGAAATACAAACCATTAACTGCCCAGTGCCAACATGTGTCAATGGTAAGAAGTGTTACCTCTCTCATGACGTAATGTCCAAGTAAGTGTTACCTCTCTCATGACGTAATGTCCAAGTAAGTGTTACCTCTCTCATGACGTAATGTCCAAGTAAGTGTTACCTCTCTCATGACGTAATATCCAGGTATATGTTACCTCTCTCATGACATAATGTCCAGGTAAGTGTTACCTCTCTCATGACGTAATATCCAGGTAAGTTTTACCTCTCTTATGACGTAATGTCCAGGTAAGTGTTACCTCTCTCATGACGTAATGTCCAAGTAAGTGTTACCTCTCTCATGACGTAATGTCCAAGTAAGTGTTATCTCTCTCATGACGTAATATCCAAGTAAGTGTTACCTCTCTCATGACGTAATGTCCAGGTAAGTGTTCCCACTCTCATGACGTAATGTCTAGGTAAGTGTTACCTCTCTCATGACGTAATATTCAGGTAAGTGTTACCTCTCTCATGACGTAATGTCCAGGAAAGTGTTACCTCTCTCATGACGTAATGTCCAAGTAAGTGTTACCTCTCTCATGACGTAATATCCAGGTAAGTGTTACCTCTCTCATGACGTAATGTCCAGGTAAGTGTTACCTCTCTCATGACGTAATGTCCAAGTAAGTGTTACCTCTCTCATGACGTAATGTCAGATTAAGTGTTACCTCTCTCATGACGTAATGTCCAAGTAAGTGTTACCTCTCTCATGACGTAATGTCCAAGTAAGTGTTACCTCTCTCATGACGTAATGTCCAGGCAAGTGTTACCTCTCTCATGACGTAATGTCCAGGCAAGTATTACCTCTCTCATGACGTAATGTCCAGGTAAGTGTTACCTCTCTCATGACGTAATGTCCAGGTAAGTGTAACCTCTCTCATGGCGTAATGTCCAGGTAAGTGTTACCTCTCTCATGACGTAATGTCCAGGTAAGTTTTACCTCTCTCATGACGTAATGTCCAAGTAAGTGTTCCCGCTCTCATGACGTAATGTCTAGGTAAGTGTTACCTCTCATGACGTAATGTCCAGGTAAGTGTTACCTCTCAGAATCAGATTGGCCAGGTTATATATGACATATGTTTTGAGTAGGAAAGTACATGTTCGTTTTAATGGTATGGCATATTGTAGTGTAAATGGTTTCAATGATACGCATTTAGAAGTAAGAAGAACATTGGAACATGACATTTCTAATAATAACAGCTACTTTATTGTTGGGAACAACGTTCCAGGGCTACTTCTTGCCCTGTAATCAGGTGAAAACTCCCCCGAAAAGCCAGTGACGTACAATGAAAGAGCAATGGAGATTGGCATGATTACATTGAACTGAATAGGGGAACAATATAACAAAACAAACACAGGTGCCCAGTGTGTGGGCAGAGACTGGTTATAGAACGGTGAGATAAACGCTGGGTAGGTAGATTCCTTGATCGGCTTGGTGCGTTACATTTCTAGTTTCTATCAGTGATTGATGTTGGTTTGTTAACAGGAAATATTGTGGTCAGGATTGTGTACTTGTTGTTACCCTGTCTGGCGCTCGGCATTAAGGGGCTGAAACAAGGACTGATTGGTTCGGAGTCAGTATACTATGTCTGAGTGGGGTATTCATGTTAAACTGCGGCATGGTATCTCAGTGGGCTAGCACTATAAATCGTATCAGTCAGGACAAGTACAAGCAGCCACAAACACACGCGCACGTGCACGCACACGGACACGCACGCGCACACACACACACACACACACACGTGCATGCACGTCGCTATATTAGTGCAATAATCTTGGACGCGACGTTAAACCCAATTTCGCCTCACCTGACGCTCATGTTTTCAAGGTTTCCCAGCGTCCTTGTTAAATGCCCGCTTGCTGTTTGTCAAGCCTCAGGGCAGGTTGCCGTCGTCTCCGGTGTGCAGAACGCTCAAGTAGAAGCAGGGGCCCCAATCGTGTTGTCTGCGCAGCTAAATCAACCAGTAGAAACCGGTTGGCAGTGGATGAAGGACGGTGTCCCCGTTACCCAGGATACGCGGAACGTGATGACCCGGGACGGCAACGTCTACCGCTTAACCAGGTTCCAAGCGAATGTCAACGACACCGGCAACTACACCTTCATCGCTGGAGGGGCGACGTCGGAGGGAGGAGTGTTTGTGTACGGTACGTCGCGTGTCTGTGTTCACTGTAGCCTCGAATGGCACGAAGAAGCTTGGTTATCAAAACTTGCCATTCTGGATTGCTTATGCTATAATTAAAAGTGAGTATGACTTGACGCCGCCTTTAGCAATATTCAAGCCAAAGCACGGCGGGGGACACCAGAAATTGGACTTCACACATTGTACCCATGTCGGGAGTCGAACCCAGGTCTTCGGTGTGACGAGCGAACGCTTTAACCACTAGGCTACCCGGCCGATCCGGTTGTTTCTGTATACTTGGAAGATCATATACCATACATGTTGGTAAATAAATGAAGATTCACTCATATTTAAGAGATATTAGATTGGTTCGACGCACAAACGGACATACTGGTATGTTGTGTGAACCGATGCTCATAAACGCATCACATGTGACGTCATAGATGTCCAGTCATAGATGAAGTCACATGTGATGCGTTTATGAGCATCGGTGTGAGTCGAGAAGTACCATTTGTCTCGTGCAGACTTAGCGTGTAAAGTTTGGAAATCACGTGCGGCATATCGTGATAAGAATATAGACACTCTGTGGTAACACTCGACTGATTGTCAGTCTTGTCATTTATTGGTACACACTGGAAAGATCTCTTCTTAACGTACATACATACTCCTCTATATATTTCTATGGTTCGCGTTTCTTTCGGTGGTGAGTTATCAATTCAACAGTTGATTTATTTAATAACTCACATCAGCCGCTGATGCTACAGTTAACGGGGGCTGGACAGTTCTATTGACAATATATATATTTACACAATGTCTGCTATTGCCATCTTTTTCCATCCAGCGTCACATAATATCTTCTGTTGTCTGTTGATGCTGCAGTTAACGGGGGCTGGACGGAGTGGTCGCCGGCTGTGAAGGTCTGTAGCGCTACGTGCGGTCAGTCGGTCAGTGGGACGGACACGAGGACACGGACATGTACCAACCCTGTTCCAGTCAATGGCGGAAGCACTTGTGCTGGAAATCCACTAGACATACAAGGCGTTATCTGCCCAGTGCCAACATGTGTCAATGGTAAGAAGTGTTACCTCTCTCATGACGTAATGTCCAAGTAAGTTTTACCTCTCTCATGACGTAATGTCCAAGTAAGTGTTACCTCTCTCATGACGTAATGTCGAGGTAAGTATTACCTCTCTCATGACGTAGGGTCCAAGTAACTGTTACCTCTCTCATGACGTAATGTCCAAGTAAGTATTACATCTCTCATGACGTAATGTCCAGGTAAGTGTTACCTCTCTCATGACGTAATGTCCGAGTAAGTATTACATCTCTCATGACGTAATGTCCAGGTAAGTGTTACCTCTCTCATGACGTAATGTCCAAGTAAGTATTACATCTCTCAATACGTAATGTCCAGGTAACTGTTACCTCTCTCATGGCGTAGGGTCCAAGTAAGTATTACCTCTCCCATGACGTAATGTCCAGGTAAGTATTACCTCTCTCATGACGTAATGTCCAGGTAAGTGTTACCTCTCTCATGACGTAATATCCAGGTAAGTGTTACCTCTCTCATGACGTAATGTCCAGGTAAGTGTTACCTCTCTTATGACATAATGTCCAGGTAAGTGTTACCTCTCTCATGACGTAATATCCAGGTAAGTGTTACCTCTCTCATGACGTAATGTCCAGGTAAGTGTAACCTCTCAGAATCAGATTGGCCAGGTTATATATGACATATGTTTTGAGTAGGAAAGTACATGTTCGTTTTAATGGTATGAAATATTGTAGTGCAAATGGTTTCAATGATACGCATTTAAAAGTAAGAAGAACATTGGAACATGACATTTCTAATAATAACAGCTACTTTATTGTTGGGAACAACGTTTCAGGGCTACTTCTTGCCCTGTAATCAGGTGAAAACTCCCCCGAAAAGCCAGTGATGTACACTGAAAGAGCAATGGAGATTGGCATGATTACATTGAACTGAATAGGGGAACAATATAACACTATAAATCTAGCACTATAAATTGTATCAGTCCGGACAAGTACAAGCAGCCACACACACACGCGCACACACGCACACACACACACACACACACACACACAAACACACGCACGCACGCACGCACACACACACACACACACACACACGTGCATGCACGTCGCTATATTAGTGCAATAATCTTGGTGGACGCGACGTTAAACCCAATTTCGCCTCACCTGACGCTCATGTTTTCAAGGTTTCCCAGCGTCCTTGTTAAATGCCCGCTTCCTGTTTGTCAAGCCTCAGGGCAGGTTGCCGTCGTCTCCGGTGTGCAGAACGCTCAAGTAGAAGCAGGGGCCCCAATCGTGTTGTCTGCGCAGCTAAATCAACCAGTAGAAACCGGTTGGCAGTGGATGAAGGACGGTGTCCCCATTACCCGGGATACGCGGAACGTGATGACCCGGGACGGCAACGTCTACCGCTTAACCAGGCTCCAAGCGAACGTCAACGACACCGGCAACTACACCTTCATCGCTGGAGGGGCGACATCGGAGGGAGGAGTGTTTGTGTACGGTACGTTGCGTGTCTGTGTTCACTGTAGCCTTGAATGGCACGAAAAAGCTTGGTTACCAAAACTCTTGATTGTTTATGATATAATTTAAAAGTGAGTATGACTTGACGCCGCCTTTAGCAATATTCAAGCCAAATCACGGCGGGGGACACCAGAAATGGGACTTCACACATTGTACCCATGTCTGGAGTCGAACCCAGCTCTTCGGTGTGACGAGCGAACGCTTTAACCACTTGGCTACCCGACAGACCCGGTTGTGTGTGATGTACTTGGAAGATCATATACCATACATGTTGGTAAATATATGAATATTCACTCATATTCAAGAGATATTAGATTGGTTCGACGCACAAACGGACATACTGGTATGTTGTGTGAACCGATGCTCCTAAACGCATCACATGTGACGTCATAGATGTCCAGTCATAGATGACGTCACATGTGATGCGTTTATGAGCATCGGTGTGAGTCGAGATGTACCATTTGTCTCGTGCAGACTTAGCGTGTAAAGTTTGGAAATCACGTGCGCATATCGTGATAAGAATATAGACACTCTGTGGTAACACTCGACTGATTGTCAGTCTTGTCATTTATTGGTACACATTGGGAAGATCTCTTCTTAACGTGCATCCATACTTTTTTATTTCTTTCTATGGTTCGCGTTTCTTTCGGTGGTGAGTTATCAATTCGACAGTTGATTTATTTAATAACTCACATCAGCCGCTGATGCTACAGTTAACGGGGGCTGGACAGTTCTATTGACAATATATATATTTACACAATGTCTGCTATTGCCATCTTTTTCCATCCAGCGTCACATAATATCTTCTGTTGTCTGTTGATGCTGCAGTTAACGGGGGCTGGACGGAGTGGTCGCCGGCTGTGAAGGTCTGTAGCGCCACGTGCGGTCAGTCGGTCAGTGGGACGGACACGAGGACACGGACATGTACCAACCCTGTTCCAGTCAATGGCGGAAGCACTTGTGCTGGAAATCCACTAGACATACAAGGCGTTATCTGCCCAGTGCCAACATGTGTCAATGGTAAGAAGTGTTACCTCTCTCATGACGTAATGTCCAAGTAAGTTTTACCTCTCTCATGACGTAATGTCCAAGTAAGTGTGACCTCTCTCATGACATAATGTCCAGGTAAGTGTTACCTCTCTCATGACATAATGTCCAGGTAAGTGTTACCTCTCTCATGACATAATGTCCAGGTAAGTGTTACCTCTCTCATGACGTAATGTCCAGGAAAGTGTTACCTCTCTCATGACGTAATGCCCAGGTAAGTGTTACCTCTCATGACGTAATGCCCAGGAAAGTGTTACCTCTCATGACGTAATGCCCAGGTAAGTGTTACCTCTCTCATGACGTAATGTCCAGGTAAGTGTTACCTCTCTCATGACGTAATGTCCAGGAAAGTGTTACCTCTCATGACGTAATGCCCAGGTAAGTGTTACCTCTCTCATGACGTAATGTCCAAGTAAGTATTGCGTCTCTCATGACGTAATGTCTAGGTAAGTGTTACCTCTCATGACGTAATGTCCAGGTAAGTGTTACCTCTCAGAATCAGATTGGCCAGGTTATATATGACATGTTTTGAGTAGGAAGGTACATGTTCGTTTTAATGGTATGGAATATTGTAGTGCAAATGGTTTCAATGATACGCATTTAGAAGTAAGAAGAACATTGGAACATGACATTTCTAATAATAACAGCTATTTTATTGTTGGGAACAACGTTTCAGGGCTACTTCTTGCCCTGTAATCAGGTGAAAACTCCCCCGAAAAGCCAGTGATGTACACTGAAAGTGCAATGGAGATTGGCATGATTACATTGAACTGAATAGGGGAACAATATAACACTATAAATCTAACACAGTGACTATAAATCGTATCAGTCCGGACAAGTACAAGCAGATACACGCGCACGCACGCACGCACACGCACACACACACACAGACATACACACACACACACGTGCATGCACGTCGCTATATTAGTGCAATAATCTTGGTGGACGCGACGTTAAACCCAATTTCGCCTCACCTGACGCTCATGTTTTCAAGGTTTCCCAGCGTCCTTGTTAAATGCCCGCTTCCTGTTTGTCAAGCCTCAGGGCAGGTTGCCGTCGTCTCCGGTGTGCAGAACGCTCAAGTAGAAGCAGGGGGCCCAATCGTGTTGTCTGCGCAGCTAAATCAACCAGTAGAAACCGGTTGGCAGTGGATGAAGGACGGTGTTCCCATTTCCCAGGATACCCGGAACGTGATGACCCGGGACGGCAACGTCTACCGCTTAACCAGGCTCCAAGCGAACGTCAACGACACCGGCAACTACACCTTCATCGCTGGAGGGGCGACGTCGGAGGGAGGAGTGTTTGTGTACGGTACGTTGCGTGTCTGTGTTCACTGAAGCCTTGAATGGCACGAAAAAGCTTGGTTACCAAAACTCTGGATTGTTTATGATATAATTTAAAGTGAGTATGACTTGACGCCGCCTTTAGCAATATTCAAGCCAAAGCACGGCGGGGGACACCAGAAATGGGACTTCACACATTGTACCCATGTCGGGAGTCGAACCCAGGTCTTCGGTGTGACGAGCGAACGCTTTAACCACTAGGCTACCCTACCGACCCGGTTGTGTGTGATGTACTTGGAAGATCATATTCCATACATGTTGGTAAATATATGAATATTCACTCATATTCAAGATATATTAGATTGGTTCGATGCACAAACGGACATACTGGTATGTTGTGTGAACCGATGCTCCTAAACGCATCACATGTGACGTCATAGATGTCCAGTCATAGATGACGTCACATGTGATGCGTTTATGAGCATCGGTGTGAGTCGAGATGTACCATTTGTCTCGTGCAGACTTAGCGTGTAAAGTTTGGAAATCACGTGCGGCATATCGTGATAAGAATATAGACACTCTGTGGTAACACTCGACTGATTGTCAGTCTTGTCATTTATTGGTACACATTGGGAAGATCTCTTCTTAACGTGCATCCATACTTTTTTATTTCTTTCTATGGTTCGCGTTTCTTTCGGTGGTGAGTTATCAATTCGACAGTTGATTTATTTAATAACTCACATCAGCCGCTGATGCTACAGTTAACGGTGGCTGGACAGTTCTATTGACAAGATATATATTTACACAATGTCTGCTATTGCCATCTTTTTCCATCCAGCGTCACATAATATCTTCTGTTGTCTGTTGATGCTGCAGTTAACGGGGGCTGGACGGAGTGGTCGCCGGTTGTGAAGGTCTGTAGCGCCACGTGCGGTCAGTCGGTCAGTGGGACGGACACGAGGACACGGACATGTACCAACCCTGTTCCAGTCAATGGCGGAAGCACTTGTGCTGGAAATCCACTAGACATACAAGGCGTTATCTGCCCAGTGCCAACATGTGTCAATGGTAAGAAGTGTTACCTCTCTCATGACGTAATGTCCAAGTAAGTTTTACCTCTCTCATGACGTAATGTCCAAGTAAGTGTGACCTCTCTCATGACATAATGTCCAAGTAAGTGTGACCTCTCTCATGACGTAATGTCCAGGAAAGTGTTACCTCCCTCATGACATAATGTCCAGGTAAGTGTTACCTCTCTCATGACGTAATGTCCAGGAAAGTGTTACCTCTCTCATGACATAATGTCCAGGTAAGTGTTACCTCTCTCATGACATAATGTCCAGGTAAGTGTTACCTCTCTCATGACGTAATGTCTAGGTAAGTGTTACCTCTCATGACGTAATGCCAAGGTAAGTGTTACCTCTCTCATGACGTAATATCCAGGTAAGTGTTACCTCTCATGACGTAATGTCCAGGTAAGTGTTACCTCTCAGAATCAGATTGGCCAGGTTATATATGACATGTTTTGAGTAGGAAGGTACATGTTCGTTTTAATGGTATGGAATATTGTAGTGTAAATGGTTTCAATGATACGCATTTAGAAGTAAGAAGAACATTGGAACATGACATTTCTAATAATAACAGCTACTTTATTGTTGGGAACAACGTTTCAGGGCTACTTCTTGCCCTGTAATTAGGTGAAAACTCCCCCGAAAAGCCAGTGATGTACACTGAAAGTGCAATGGAGATTGGCATGATTACATTGAACTGAATAGGGGAACAATATAACACTATAAATCTAGCACTATAAATTGTATCAGTCCGGACATGTACAAGCAGCTACACGCGCACGCGCACGCGCACACGCACGCACACGCAATCACACACACACTCACATATACACACACACACACGTGCATGCACGTCGCTATATTAGTGCAATAATCTTGGTGGACGCGACGTTAAACCCAATTTCGCCTCACCTGACGCTCATGTTTTCAAGGTTTCCCAGCGTCCTTGTTAAATGCCCGCTTCCTGTTTGTCAAGCCTCAGGGCAGGTTGCCGTCGTCTCCGGTGTGCAGAACGCTCAAGTAGAAGCAGGGGGCCCAATCGTGTTGTCTGCGCAGCTAAATCAACCAGTAGAAACCGGTTGGCAGTGGATGAAGGACGGTGTCCCCATTTCCCAGGATACGCGGAACGTGATGACCCGGGACGGCAACGTCTACCGCTTAACCAGGCTCCAAGCGAACGTCAACGACACCGGCAACTACACCTTCATCGCTGGAGGGGCGACGTCGGAGGGAGGAGTGTTTGTGTACGGTACGTTGCGTGTCTGTGTTCACTGTAGCCTTAAATGGCACGAAAAAGCTTGGTTACCAAAACTCTGGATTGTTTATGATATAATTAAAAGTGAGTATGACTTGACGCCGCCTTTAGCAATATTCAAGCCAAAGCACGGCGGGGGACACCAGAAATGGGACTTCACACATTGTACCCATGTCGGGAGTCGAACCCAGCTCTTCGGTGTGACGAGCGAACGCTTTAACCACTAGGCTAGCCAACCGACCCGGTTGTTTCTGATGTACTTGGAAGATCATATTCCATACATGTTGGTAAATATATGAATATTCACTCATATTCAAGAGATATTAGATTGGTTCGATGCACAAACGGACATACTGGTATGTTGTGAACCGATGCTCATAAACGCATCACATGTGACGTCATAGATGTCCAGTCATAGATGACATCACATGTGATGCGTTTATGAGCATCGGTGTGAGTCGAGATGTACCATTTGTCTCGTGCAGACTTAGCGTGTAAAGTTTGGAAATCACGTGCGGCATATCGTGATAAGAATATAGACACTCTGTGGTAACACTCGACTGATTGTCAGTCTTGTCATTTATTGGTACACATTGGAAAGATCTCTTCTTAACGTGCATACATACTCCTCTATATATTTCTATGGTTCGCATTTCTTTCGGTGGTGAGTTATCAATTCGACAGTTGATTTATTTAATAACTCACATCAGCCGCTGATGCTACAGTTAACGGGGGCTGGACAGTTCTATTGACAATATATATAAACTAGTGTCCAAAAGAAACGATACCAACTTATTTTCAAAATTGTTTTTTACTAAGTGAATTGTCAAGTATGAAAACATGCAAATTCGTATTGCACATCCCAAACACAGCATAGTCGATAAAAAATACCGGGAACACGTGATCACTTCCGGGAAAAGCGTAAATTTCGTGAAAGTGACATTTCCCTCTCTAGCATGTTCTGCACGTGCAAAAAAACTGTATAAAATGGCTGATCAGACACGTTGATATCACAGCAACAAAAAGAACACAAGATATGCCACGTTTGACAGCCATCGAGAGAGAGAATGGCCCAACAAGGAGCGTCACACGTCGACGTCGCCAGAAGGTTGGGCTGCGCACGCATCACTATCACCAGGTTGATGCAGCGGTTACGTCAGACAGGTCAGACGTCAGACAGGCCCAGGAGTGGAAGACCACGAGTAACCACGCCCCGTGAAGATCGTTACATCCGGGTATTACACCTGAGGAACCGCACCGTAACAGCGACGTCCACGGCGGCTACAGCACTGGGACACAGGATCAGTCGACAGACCGTCTACAGGAGACTACGGCAGTATGGTATCCGGCCACGTCATCCCTACCGCGGACCGCTCCTGACGCCTCGACACCGGAACAACAGACTGATCTGGGCCAGGCCAGGCGAGTTCGACGTTGGCAACGGCGGTACTGGGCACGTGTTATGTTCTCTGATGAGAGCAGATTCCTCATCTTCAGAAACGATGGACGGCAGCTTGTATACCGACGATTTGGTGAACGTTTGGCGCCTAACTGTATCCAACAGGTCCGGCCGTTTGGAGGTGGAGGGTTAATGGTTTGGGGTGGCATATGTGGTGACGTCAAAACGATGCTTGTCGTAATTCGTGGAAACCTGAATGCACAGCGTTATCTTGATGACATCCTACGGCCTGTTGTGGGGCCCTTTATTCAGCAACAGCCTCGTGGACTCCTTTTCCAACATGACAATGCAAGGCCACACACAGCAAGATTCACACAGAACTTCCTTGCCAACGCCAACGTACAGGTTTTGCCATGGCCCGCATGTTCACCGGACATGAATCCCATCGAGCACTTATGGGACCACCTCGATCGGCAAATCCGACGTCGCCGTGTGCCTCCAGTCAACGTCCAGGACTTGGAACGATGTCTCCTCGAGGAATGGCAACGCATCACTCCCAACGTCATCAGATGTTTGACGTCATCAGTCCGTAGGCGTGTTCTGGCATGTTGATGCTCACGGTGGACATACCCGCTACTGACTTGACTTTGAGACGAGTGGTGTGACATTTCCCGTTGTTTCTGTGATCAGTGCTCTAACGAAATGTTCATTTTTCGACCCCACCCATCTTTAAAGGCTTGTCATATTGGTTGTACAGATTTTATTGAAATGAAATTTTTGTACAGATGTTGTGAAAGGATTTCTCAAAAGCATAACACCAATCCTAAACTTCTGCATTGTTTGGTTTTTCTTTTATGTCGTTGCAAACAGGTGGTATCGTTTCTTTTGGACACTAGTTTATTTACACAATGTCTGCTATTGCCATCTTTTTCCATCCAGCGTCACATAATATCTTCTGTTGTCTGTTGATGCTGCAGTTAACGGGGGCTGGACGGAGTGGTCGCCGGCTGTGAAGGTCTGTAGCGCCACGTGCGGTCAGTCGGTCAGTGGGACGGACACGAGGACACGGACGTGCACCAACCCTGTTCCAGTCAATGGCGGCAGGGCCTGTGTGGGAAATCCACAGAATATAACATCCATCACTTGCGAAGTGCAAGCATGTAACAGTAAGTTTTTTGTTGGTCTGTTGTTTTACGCCGCACTCAGCAATATTCCAGCTATATGACGGCGGTCTGTTAATAATCGAGTCTGGAGCAGACAATCCAGTGATTGATATCATGAGCATCGATCCACGCAGTTGGGATTGATGACATGCATCAACCAAGTCAGCGAGCCTGACCACCCAAACCCGTTAGTCGCCTTTTACGACAAGGATAGTCGTCTTTTACGGCAAGCATGAGTTGCTGAAGACCTATTCTAACCCGGATCTTCACGGGTCGACAGTAAGTAGTGACAGAACGCTAAAATAAGGAGTGTTAGCTAGGACAGAACTCTCAAATAGGGAGTGTTACCTACGCCAGAACACTCAAATAAGGAATGTTACCTACGAGAGAACGCTCAAATAAGGAGTGTTACGTATGAGAGAACGCTCAAATAAGGACTGTTAGCTACGACAGAACACTGAAATAGGGAATGTTACCTACGACAGAACACTCAACTAAGGAGTGTCAGTTACGACGTAACTGTCAATTAAGGATTTTTACCTACGACAGAAAGCTCAAATAGGGAATGTTACCTACGACAGAACACTCAAAAAGGAGTGTCAGATACGACAGAACACTGACATAAGGAGCGTTACCCACGACAGAACGCTCAAATGAGTTCCACCTATGACAGAACACTCAAAAAGGAGTGTCAGTTACGACGTAACTGTCAAATAAGGATTATTACCTACGACAGAAAGCTCAAATAAGGAATGTTAGCTACGACATAACACTCAAATAAGGAGTGTTACCCACGACAGAACGCTCAAATGAGTTCCACCTATGACAGAACACTCAAATAAGGAGTGTCAGATACGACAGAACACTGACATAAGGAGTGTTACCCACGACAGAACGCTCAAATGAGTTCCACCTATGACAGAACACTCAAATAAGGAGTGTTACCCACGACAGAACGCTCAAATGAGTTCCACCTATGACAGAACACTCAAATAAGGAGTGTCAGATACGACAGAACACTGACATAAGGAGTGTTACCCACGACAGAAAGCTCAAATGAGTTCCACCTATGACAGAACACT